CCCCAACCCTGCCAGACTGTGATTATAATCAGCCTATGCGCGGCACTCCGCAGGCTTCTCCTCGAAACACCTAGAGCAAATCCCCAACACCCAGGCTCCTCTCAGCATCTCCACAAAAATGCCACGAGATGTTTGGGCTTTTGAGCCCCACGCCAGCCAGCCAGCCAGCACTGCACCACAGGGAAATAATAATAATAATCCTTGCATTTGATATTGCACCTTATCACTTCACTGAGACGTCTCAAAGCACTTCACATAATGTATTGTAAAGTGGATTGACTGTGTTTTTTATGGGCGAAACGTGGCAGCCAATTACGCACAGCAGTGCCCCACAAATATTTTTTTGAAGAGACTATTACCCCAGGAAAGCAAACCACCAATCAACTAACAGCCGGGTTCCTTCTTACTGATGGGTAAACAGAGATTTGTGGAGTAAGGAAACTTGCTTGAGGTTTCATCCCACCCGGGCATCAAACCCAGGTCCTCTCGTTTGCAAGGCGAGCACACTAACCACTACACTACAGGACTCCACATAATTACAGACATTTAGCAGCCAGTTTCTTGGGTGCTGTTATGCTAAGCACAGAGCATTACAGCTTGGCATCCTGCTCTCTCAGCCTCCGCTTTGTCTGCAGAGGTGCTGTTATTCATTCATAGTATGAAGCCTGACTGCCGACAGACATTGTTTACGTGCCTCAGTGTTACTGCATTACTCAGTCTGTTAATTTTGAATTTAGTTTATACTGTATTAAGATCAGTGCCATTCCCGGGTTGTGGGTGCAGGTTTATTACCAGTGCTGTTGTGAGTTTGTGGGTAGAGGATAATAAAAATAATTACTTGATAGATTAACGTCATTCACACGTCGAGACATCTCAAAACACAAGTATAGAAAGCGTGTATTTGTAGGCAAACACGGCAGCTAATTTGCGCACAGCAACGTCACAATAAATAGCCATGAAATAAATGATCAATTTCATCTAGGGGATTGCTGGCCAGCAGGTTAGGAGAAACTTCCTTCTTTTTTTCAGCTAGATCTTTAAGATATACTTAAAGAATCAATTTCTTTATTTCGAGCTCAGGATTTCTGTCTCATCCGAATGACGACACCTCTAACACTTTCCAAATACTGGAGGGTCAGCCAAGACTGTGAGCTTAAAGTCCTGAGGTGGGGTTTGAACCCAAAACCTTCCTTCTGCCTCAGGGGCGAGCGTGCTACAACAGCAACAACTAGCATTTATATAGTGATCCTAATGAGCACAATGCTGAGCTGGGGGATGGGGAGGTGACCATAAGCATGGAAGAAGAGGAAGGTTTTCAAGAGCGATTTTAAGATGGAGATGGAAGGGGCGAGATGGAGGGATAGAGGAAGAGTGTTCCAGAGTTTGGGGAGTAGTGGCTGAAAGTGTAGCCACCAATGGTGGAACGGAAGGCACGAGGGACATGCAGGAGGCCGGAGCCAGTTGAGCAGGTAAGCAGGTCGGAGAGGTAGGGGGTAGGCGCCAGGCTATGAAGGTGCTACCAACTGAGCCAGGCTGATAAAGTGTCAGGTGAAGGTGAACATTTTATCACAGTGTACGTTATGAGAGGAAAATGTGGGAATGATGCCACATTCCAGTTTATTGCTGTGACTGGGTGTCTGAGTATTTGTGGATTGTACTGGACAAGGGCCCAGCTGAACTTCTGAAAGGACATTAAGGATCTTCTAAACTAAGCGGGAAGCTAATCACAAAGAGACAAGAAAACCTCAACAACAGGCTGTGAGTCAGAGTAGCCAGCAGCAATTTCACATGACTCTCGTTAGTAACTGGGATCTTTAATCATCACGCGAGCCAGACTGCATCTCGAATGGCGTTCTCCCCCACCCCCATCACACCCCCACCTAGTGCTGAACGAACATCAGGCAAGCACTTCACTAACACAACCCAAAACAGCCTCTGTAGCATTTACTGAAACATGGAGATGTGTGGCCACAGCTGCAGCACAAGATGTAAACACTGAGGTCTTGTTTCATTATGCGATATGACCTTGTGAGACAGGAACCTGATTAAGGAAAAGTCATATGACCTTTTTGTACAAATACTCTTCATAATACAGTAACTTTACCTTGGGAACCACAGTCAATACATAAGAAAGTGCTTGGTATGTCAATCTCTCTGGTAGATATAGTGTAGAATATCATATATGGGTGTGGTAATCTGGAAGGCTGTAATACACAATGGCTCCACAAATGGCTGAGTCGGTAAAGGCAGTAAAGCCAGGAAGTCAAAGATTCTAGCCTTTGATGATGACAGCGCAGCCAGACTGGCTCATCGGCAGGACTTGGAAGGTCAGACGAGTCACTGGGGACAGGGAATTATCCCACTCGGCTCCTGTTAATCCTGCAAGCCAAAGCTGTAATGGGTTGGGTGGTCCTAGCTGGACAAGCAGCGGGAGAGCTTGCCAGATAGTGATATAAATGGCCAGCAATGTGGTTTTAGCTGGTTAGACTCCAGCAGTCACCCCAACATTCACTCTGGGGTCCTCAAGGCCTTGGCTGTTGCCAACCTGTGCCTATTACTTTCCGGAAATAGGTAAGCAAGATGCATCCCTCCAGGGAGAGAGTGCGTATTCCATGCCAACGATCTATCTCTGGAATTTCCATGTGTAGGTGAGATGTGTGGAAATGTTTCTCTGAATTTCCTTCCAAACCTCAAATGTACTTTCCCAATCCTCTACTTTGTATCCTTACTAAGTTGAAATCAAAGCCCATCACACTGCCTTCCACTCCCAGTTATTCTTTCTCACGACCTCCAGACCTCCCCATCTCCTCAGTCTTCTCTTCCTCCAACAATCCGCAAGCAACTCGCTAGCACCTGACCACTTGCTGACTCATCTCTCTGTCTCTCTGTTTCTTTCTTCAGCTTCATGTTGTCTCGTGCTCTGGGACTTAATCTGGGTTTCCCAATAAAATAGTTTTTTTTATAAACATATGATTACAGATATTTAATGCATTGAATGTACCTGTAAACCTGTTATGGATTTACAATAAAAAAATAATAATCCTTGCATTTGTTATAGCATCATTGAGACATTTCAAAGCGCTTCACAGAATATATTGTAAAGTGGATTGATTGTCTTTTGTGGGCGAAATGTAGCAGCCAACAGCAATATCCCATTTCTTTTTTTGAGCAATTATTACCCCCAAAAAGCGATCCGTAAACCGACTAACAACTGGGTTCCTACTTACTACTCGGTAAACAGAGGCGTGTGGAGTAAGGAAACATGCCTAAGGTTTCGCTCTGCCCGGGAATCAAACCCGAGGCTATCGCTTGCGAGGCGAGTGCTCTTAACCAATACACGACAGGACTCCACGCTGTAGAATCCTAAATCAACGATTCCCATCCCAATGCAGTTTCCAGTCATGACATTTGTGTTATAAAGCAGGTGGCTGCTTGGCTGGTTGATACCATCACACAGACTGGCCCCACGACTCTGTGGTAAACATTGAACATCTGTCCTTCTCCCAGCTGTTAGCCTCTCATACTCCCACAGTGTGAACTGCCAACCATCCCCTCTCCCTTCCCAACGTTTGGCAGGTTCCCTCCCTCATCTGTGAAAAAGAGCTCTGAACCAGACTGCAGAGTACATTCTTGATCTCTTTCAGCCACTTTGAAAAGGTTAATGTGATCTGGAAAAATAAAGCAGAATCCTCTTTTTTAATTAAAAAAATTAATGTGTTCAATTATTTTTCTAATTTTTCTCCCCACGGGCATAAGCCTGGCCTGGGTGCGGTTCCCTGGAAGCTGGCTGGACTCTGGTATCTCTGATTTCCAAGGCGAGACAAAACCTTAGGCAAGTTTCCTTACTCCGCATGCCTCTGATTACCTAGCAGTAGGAACCTGGTGGATTACTTTCCGGGGAGTTTAATCCCTTCAAAAAAAATTGGTCACTCACTCCACAACTGTTTGTGAGTCACTGCTGAGTGCAATTGGCTGCCAAATTTCATCTACAAAATACAACAGTCAAACTACTTTACAATATATTCTGTGAAGCACTTTGAGGCGTCTCAACAAAGTGACACAGGCACTATATCAAATTCAAGGATTATTTATTATTTTACCGGCACAAGTGACCTCTGTTTGTGTGTGAGCCTCGGCAGTGAATGTTAGGAGTGACTGTAGAGGGCATCACAGGGAGCCTGATCTCTTCCCACCTGGCTGAATGGCCTATTCCTGTTTCTATGCTTCTACATGAATTGGGCCTTAGATGTTTAAGCAGAATGAGGTTTTGTTTTTAGTGTGTCAGTGAGTTTTTGGTAAGCAAGCGCTACCCAAGTTGTTGTTGAGGTGCCCAAGGCCACGGTTGAACAGGTTGAGTTTTAGGTGTGGGAGAAGGGAAGAGTGCAGGTGTGCAACGGTGCAAGTGGGGCCGTCAGACCCTTGTACCTTTGTGCCTTGTAGGGTAAGATGGGACAGTTGTAATACCTCAGGTTTTTGGATGTTATGTGAGAAACTAGCAGCGATGTGCACAGGGCATGAAATACAATCTGGGATTTCGTAATCCATGTAAATCCATTCAACACATTGTGGCAGCCCCCTGCCAGCAAACAGGGCATCGGATGTGGAATAGAATAGCGTGCTTGTTACAAATTGTATCAAAGCCAGTTCTGCTTTGCCCAGAAAGGCTTGACGAATGGGGAGTTCCCTTCCAGCCAAACAACTCTTCAGATGTAAAATAATAAAAAACACATGCTGGAGAGTTCTAGGGTGGAAAAAAAAACACTGGTTCGGACAATGGCACAGGGCAAAGTGCACCAGGAGGGTAAGTGTGTTCCCTGGAATGAGAGAGAGAAACTGAGGCATGTGGAGTAAGGAAACTTGGCTCAAGTTTCGCCCCGACCGGGTATTAAACCAGATCCTCTCACTTGTGAGGCGAGTGCTCTAACCAATATGCTACAGGACTCCACAATATTTACGCACCTTGTCATCGTGTTAACTCACGGTCCTTTTCTTGTCTGCAGGACTGGAGTGAGAAGCTTGCTCGATTGGCCCAGGAGCGGGCTGCCACATGCCCTGGGGAGCTACTTGTCCACCCCGTCCGAGTGCCAGAGGAGGAGGAGGAGATGGCCGACGAGGTCAGCTGTAACCATCACGTATCACCAACCGGAAGGATGTCTTTCTCAGACGTTATCGAGCTGTGGTTCAGAGAGGGTCCAAATTACAACCACCACACAGGACTCTGCAAGAACAATGCTACCTGCCACCACTACACCCAGGTATGTGCTCACCGAAACCATTGTCCTTTCAACAACAACAACTCGCATGTACATAGCTCTCGTCCCAGAGCGATTGGCAGTGGCAGAGACTGACGTCAAGCTGGGGGGAGAGGGAAAGTGAACATTGAAGAGGAAGGTCTTCAGGTGCGACCTAAAGACCTGGAAGGGTGGATGGGGGGCAAGGCGGAGGGATAGAGGAAGAGAGTTTCAGCATAGCTGAAAGCACGCCCGGCGGTGGTGGAACAGAGGGCATGAGGGACATGCCGAAGGCACAGCCAATTGAGCGGAGGCATCGGGTAGTGGGTTGGGGAGTAAGCAGGTCAAAGAGGTAGTGAGGTGCCAGGGCATGAAGGGATTTGAAGATGAGTTTGAGGAAATTGAAATCCTTCCTCATCGATACACAGGCACAGCACTGCACATCAAACATCCATTGGAAGGTTTTCTGGAAAATGCCTTACACAGTACAGCTAAATATACTTCACAGTTACATATATATTCACTTTACAAACATCTACTTAACAAGCCTCTGCCGCCATTCAGTGTGAAGTTTGAATACGTTATTATATATGTATATAAATATATTAATATATGAAAAAGGGAACAATCCCTCCAAAATTAATAAATATCCAAATGAGTAAGTAAAATCGGTCACTCACTTCATGACTGTTTGTGGGACTTGGCTGCCATGTTTCGTCCACAAAAATACACAGTCAATCCACTTTACAATGTATTCTGTGAAGCGCCTTGAGACGTCTCAACGACGTGATAAGGCGTTCTATCAAATGCAAGGATTATTATTAGAACGTTAGTCTTCTCTTTATTTTTCTTTCGCCGAGACCCGCCAGACCCAATCCCTGCCCTTCTGTCCAGAACGCGGTTGGACCCTGCTGGCCCTTTGCGGTGACGTGACCTTGTTGGAGCTGCTCGTGATCGGCTGGGCTTGCTTTGTTCCGCTGGCCTGGAGTGGTTATTCCAATCAGTCGAGCTGTCCACGATTGACAGCTCCATACAATAGCCCTGGTGTATCCACCATGCTGAAATCTGGCGTTTTTCACCGTTTTAGCAGATAAACAATAAGCAAGTCACAAAGAACGTAAAGTATACATACACACTGATCAAAAAACTATCACGCTCGCTGCTTTCCATCTTACCATCTTATCGTCTGTCATCAGCAGTGCCCTGGAGTAGAAAGATTAATCTCGCTGGTGAATCGGTAGCAAAGGAACATCAACTCAGGATCGCCATGGGCAGAGTTAGAGAGATGTTAAAGGAAATGTTACCAGACAGAGTGTCGTCAGAACACAGGTGGCCATTGAGACTGAGGTCAGCCAGAGTTAAATGGAATCGGATGAATAATAGAAGAGAAGGAATAGGGCGCAGGGAATTGGGATTGCGCTTGTTAGCTCCATAATATTAGGCTCAATGAGCCAAAAAAAATGCCTTTTGTGCTATAATTTCTTTCAATCTATTACTATTTCCCTCCCCCCCTCCCCCCCTCCCCCCACTAATGACTATATCTACTTTCAGCTTGTCTGGGCGACATCAAGTAAGCTGGGCTGTGGGAGACACACCTGCCTACAGAATGGAGAAACAATGGACATTTTTATTTGTGCTTATTCACCAGGGTAAGACTGTATATCTCAGGCCTCCCTCTCCTTGTTCCTTTGACTGACAAACGTTCTGGGCTGTGGCCCCTGAAGCGTAATGGTTAGTGCATTCGCCTCACAAGCGAGAGGATCCGGGTTCGATTCCAGGGCAGGGTAAAACCTTAGGCAAGTTCCCTTACTCCACACACCTCTGCTTACCCAGCAGTAAGTAGGAACCCGGTTGTGCTGCAATTGGCTGCCACATTTCGCCCACAAAATATACAAATATACAATTCACTTAACGGTATATTTCTGTGAAGCACTTTAAGTGACTCAAGGCACTATATCAAATGTAAGGATTATTATTATTATATCAAAGATCCCACAGTGCGATCTGAAAAGAGAAGGGAGTGTCTCTGGTGTGCTGACTGACAAATCCACTGGATTATTGTAATCATTTATTCCCCAAATGGCATATTTGTGGGCTGCCATATTTGTTTACAAAACCAACACTACACTTGGCAGCAATTGTTTTTGTAAAGCCGGGTGTCTGATGTACGCGGAAACCCATCACTGTGCTTAAGAGTCCCCAAACCAAACTGATAATTCCCACGCATCCCACCTACACATGGAAACTCCTCAGATAAATTGTTGAATGGAATATTGTTCGGTTTCGCTCTCTCTCTGGAGGGATGTATCCAGTTTACCGAGAGTATTAGGCAATATAGTCCAAAGTGCTTTGGGGTAACTGCTGGAGTCTAACCAGCTAAAATCACAAACCATGAATTAACATTTGCCGAGTGGGTAGAGAAAGCCTGACAGCTTGTGGTAAAGGTGGGTCAACTTCACCAGTCACCAACACCGAAGCAAGTGGGAGTCTCAGCATGTGTAGCCACCTAGTGGTGGCAGTGTGTTGGTGCAAGTATAATTGGCCCACTCATGTGAATTAATATTCATCCTTGCATTCGATACAAAGCCTTTCACATTAAGAGGATGTCCCAAAGCGCTTCACTGAATATACTCTGAAGTGGAGTGACTGTATTTGCAGGCAAGCAAAGAAATAGATAACTCCTGAAAAGAACCAATTTCCATGATGCTAATTTTATTCTAATTAATATAATTTATTATGTTATTAATAACAACAAATATATTTATATAGCGCCTCTCACGCCATGCGGTGTTCCTAAACGTTTCAATGTGGACCATTGTCTCCGAGGTGGTTTGAAGCCTGGAAGTTCTTTATGTGGGGTCGGCAATCGGGTGTTTGTTTGGGACGAGAACATTATTCCCAGAACTGTTTCCAAGGTATCTCAGGATTATGCAAATGTCACAAATTAGCCTCCAATGCCATTGAAATGGGATTTGGACCTGAGCAAGGGTTTGGGACCACAGTGGGTGGAAGGCGGGAAGGGTGAGGGTGGGAGGGTTGAAGGCACGGTCGAAGAGGAGGGTCTTGAGACCTGCTTTGAAAGAGGCAAGGGAGGGACCAAGACGAAGGGACCGGAGGATAGGTTCTAAAGGGTGGGGGCAGCGAAGCTGAAGGTCCGAGCGCCGATGGTGGTGTAGGCCGGGCAGAGGACTTGGCTCAGGCTGAAGCCTGATGAGCGAAGGGAGTTAGGTTAATATGGGATTAGCAGGTCACAGACGTAGGAAGGAGCAAGGCCTACTCTGTGCCCTCGAATGGCAGTGGCACATGTTGGTGCAGTTGGCTGGCTGCAGGTGTCTCACCTTCACCGACAAAGTGATGTGCATTTTTTTCTTATTTCAGAGGAAACTGGGAAATCAATGGAAGGATAATTGTCCCTTATAAAGAAGGAGTGTGGTGTTCTCTGTGCACTTCTCGCATGTCCGGCTGTTTCAAATCCTGGGATCACAGTGGAGGGCTGTGCGGTGAGTCTCATTATAGACCATCTCACTGCACTAAGCACCAGCATTAAAAACTGACACCGTCCTAACAAACCTCCATTATTAGAGCTCAAGCTCCATCTCGCTGAGTGAGATGGAGTTTTGTCTTAAAAATGTAGATATTTTAAAATGAATAAATAAATGATAATAATTTGGTCACTTCAATCTACGGCTGTTTGTGTGCAGCTTTTCGCCCACAAAATACAAGGTCAATTCACTTTACAGTGTATTCTGTGAAGCACTTTGAGGCGTCTCGAAGACGTGATAAGGCGCAATGTCAAATGCCAGATTTATTACGTTTTAAGTTTGGTTTTGATTTGAAAGCTGGGTTTTCTATGCAGCCAATAAGGAGCAGCTTCCAAATTAAGATTGAGTTTAAAGATTTTTGCGTAATTCTACAGAGTATCCACAAAGTCCTGTTACCCCCTGTTACAAAACAGCGACGAGACTCCAGAGGAGCTGAAACAATCTGTCAGAGATGTGTTTCACCCTCCTCACTCCATCCTTTTACATCGAACATGGCAATGGATCATTATCTGCCATGAAAATGATGACACTCACTCACTCACTCACTCACTCACTCAAAAACACTTGGGGGAGTAACAGGACTTTGTGCACACCCTGTAAAGAATCTTTAGACCTAGTCAGGGAGTGGGATTTCAAGCCTCAGGATTTCTGACTGAATTTGATTGTTGCTGAGCCTCCTGCCACCATCTATGTCCTTGTAGAAGTCCCCAGGAACCCGTGTAGGATGAGCTGTGGCAACAGAGGCCACTTGAACATCAGCCTGTGCCGATGTGAGTGTTTACCGGGCTTCACAGGAAGGTTTTGCCAAGGTAGGCACATGGGTAATGGTCAACAACTTGCATTTATTAATTAGTTATTTCCTTTCACCTGGTAAACATCCCATTCACTGGGTCACAGAGACGCAGTGGGAGCTCGGGCTGGGGGAGCTGGGAGTTGGGGCTGCAAAGTGCCTGTCTGTTAACCTGTTATTTATGGACAGAGTTTCTATTTCCGTTTTTATTTCATTAAGTTTCACAATTTCAATGTTTATAGGTACAAATGGGACAAAAACTGAACTTTCCAAGAGTGTGTGGTGTGTGTTCGGGGCGCAGGGGGGTGGGGGGGGGTGGAGGGGGAGGGAATCAGTGTATGTGTGTGTGAATGGGAAGGAGGGGAAATTGTGTTTAAAAAAAACTCACTGGAAATGTTTCCCATTAAGCTTTTACCTCAATGCCTTCTTTTCGTTGACTCACATATTTGTAACAGGGACGCTGAAGAGGGAGAGAGTACGTGGAGTGATCCATTGGAATTCTATACAATTTTGTACACTGGGAATGAATCCTTTGGGATTCTATGCAGTGGCGCTGTGGTAGCTTGCCTCTGACTCAGAAGGTTGTGGGCTCAACTCCCACGTCAGGACTTGAAAACACATTGTCTAAGCTGACCCTCCAATATAATGCCGGGGGTGGGGGGTGTTGCATTGTCATAGGGCCGTCCTTCAAATGAGATGTTAAACTGAGATTCCGGCTGCCTGTTCAGGTGGATGTTAAAGATCCCCTGGATCAAGTCTCTCCCGGTTTCCTGGCCGACAATCCCCCAAATAAAATTGGTCACTCAATCAATGACTGTTTGTGAGACACTACGGTGCACAATTGGCTGCCGTGTTTCGCCCATAAAATATGCACTCAATCCACTTTACAGTATACCTGTGAAGCACTTTGAGAACTTCTTGAAAATACGATAAGGTGCTATTTCAAATGCCAGGATTATTATTATTATTATTATTGGGAAATAATGGGAAAGGGTTAGGTTTATTGGGATTCTCTTAAGATTGGGTGTGCTTCTTTCGAGTGTGGGGTGCTCTGATTGATGGCCAATTCATCTCTTTCCCAGTTAGGTGTAGTATGGAGTGTGTTCATGGGAGGTACCGAGATGAGGAGTGCTCGTGCATGTGTGAGGTGGGATTCGGTGGAGCTGTCTGTGGGGGTGAGTTAACAGCACAATCACACACGGAGAGCCCAGAGGGACTCCTAACAAAAAAAATGAAATAGGTTTAATCCCACGGGAAGATACTTCATGAAATACTTCCTGCTCTTTTTTGATTTTAAATGCACCATCTGTAGTTTGTCCAATAAAGTTTGTAGAAGAAAGCTTCACTATTTCTTCACAGAAGATATTCCGATTTCAAGAGGTACAATTCATTAGCTTTGGAAAAAAACAGCTATCAACAGGTTTCCTCGGGAAACAATAGAAGCAGAAAGGGTTCAGTCAAATACACATTAGATTTCTTTCTAGAACATAATATTTTGAGATACAGTATATGAGTAATTTGAGACGTGACGTATACTAAGAACCAGGCAACATTGGATTTAAGGTTCCCAAAGCTTTCCAGTCTGCTGTAGACTGAATTAGCTGCTATCAACATCTCCATTACTGTAGCATGCAACGACCTGGATGGGAAAAGGCCAACTGGTTGGACTCTTAATCTACAATGACAGTGCTGGAGCTCTATCTAGTGGAAGCCCATGAGTATAACACCCTTCTATTTCACACCATCAGGGCTTCACAGCGAAGCACAATTTATAGTTTCTGTTCACATTTATATTTTTTTTTGCCTGGTTCAACTGTATTGGAAGAGCAGCTCAAACGCAAAATGTTTCAGAATGTTTTGTTTCCCTCCACTTTTCCTTGCTGTGTCCACCCTGAAAGACACAACATAACACAACATTATTTGTTTGTCCCGTGGTGTAGTAGTTAGCTCGCTCGCCACACAAGCGAGAGGACCCGGGTTCGATTCCCGGTTTTGGCACAACCTTAGGCAAGTTTCCTTACTCTACACACCTTTGTTTACCTAACCGTATGTAGGAATCCCAGTTATTAGTCGATTGGCCGATCGATTTCCGGGGGTAATAATTCATCAAAATAAAATGTGGTCACTCAATTCATGACTCTTTGTGGGATACTGCTATGTGCAATTGGCTGCCATGTTTCACCTCCAAAATACACAGTCAATCCACCCTACAACATATTCTGTGAAGCACTTTAAGACATCTCAATGACGTGATAGGGCACTATATCAAATGCAAGGATTATTATTGTTCTTATTATAATTTTGTGGGATTTATATAATAATAATCCTTGCATTTGATATAGCGCCTTATCACATTTTCAAGATGTCTCAAAGCGCTTCACAGAATACACTGTAAAGTGAATTGACTGTATATGTTGTGGGAGAAACACAGAGGCCAATTGCAGACAGCAGCGTCCCACAAACACCTGCGGATTGGGTGACCAAATTTTTTAAAGTATTACCCCCAGAAGAACGATCCACCAATTGACTAACAATTGGGTTCCTACTTACTGCTAGGTAAACAGAGGCGTGTGGAGTAAGGAAACTTGCCCAACATTTTGCCCTGCCAGGGAATAGAACCTAGTTCCTCTTTCTTGCGAGGCGAGTGCTCTAACCACTAAGCTACAGGATTCCATTTGTGTTCAGTTCAGAGGAACTGACATTTTGCTAATGGTTTTCATGGGTCTGTTGTTCACGTTGTGTACAAGGTAATTTTTGGTCGCCTCTAATTTCCTGCTTCTTCCTCAGAAAAGCTGGAGTTTCCCTTCCACATCTGTGATGTTGAGATCGATGGAGATTGTTTCATGGTTTCTCCTGAAGCAGACACTTATTACGGAGCCAAAAGTAAATGCCAGGTAACGAGAGGAGTGAGAGGTGACATTTGTCAAAAGACTCTATCATTGACTCAAACTCTCCTTTTTTTCTTACTTGCTATTTATTTTACTTGGAACTGGCTGCAGTGTTTAGTCCACAAAATACAATCAGTTCACTTTATAGTATATTCTGTGAGGCGTTTTGAGACGTCTCAATGACGAGATAAGGTGTTATATCAAATGCACAAATGCACAGATTATTATTATTACTTTTTAATTTTTTTTAAAAACGTATCAAACAAAGGCCCTAAACTTTACTGCTCTGCATATTCTGGTAAAATGGACCAAATTTACCTCTCCCCCTCCCAACCCACCCGCACCCCCCACACCAATACTCTGTTAGGCTGATAAAGTTTTGCCATTAATTTGTGCTTTTTTTATTTTCAGGAACAAGGTGGTATTTTAGCACAGATTAAAACCCAGAAACAGCAAGACATCTTGGCCTATTACCTCAGCCAATTGGAGAGCACAAATGAGGTTACAGACCCAGATTTTGAAACCAGGAACTTTTGGATTGGTAACGTGTAGATTCATTCCTCCTCTCTCTCTCCTCTCTCCCTCCCTCACTCTCTCCCTCCCTCCCTCCCTCCCTCTCTCTCTCTCTCTCTCGCTCTCTCTCTCTCCTGTCACTGATGAATCAACCTTCAGCCTGTACCGGGATTCCATTCCCCTGCTATCTTGTCTCAGCCTGGCTCAATGGTAGCGCTCTTGCCTCTCAGTCAGAAGATTGGGGGTTCAAGCCCCACTTCGGGACTTGGGATCACATAGTCTAAGCTGACACTCCAATGCAGCACTGGGGGTGTGTTGCATTGTTGGAGGTGCTGTCTTTGAGATGAGACGTTAACTCAAGATTCCATCTGTCTGGTATCTTGGACATTAAAGATCCCATGGCGCTACCTGAAATAAAAATAATATAAATTGGACACTCCGTGGCTGTTTGAGGGTCACTGCTGATCACAGTTGGCCACCATGTGTCGCCCATAAAGTACCCTTTTCAATATATTCTGTGAAGCGCTTTGCGGTGTCTCAATGACGTGAGAAAACACTATATCAAATGCAAGGATTATTATTATTACATAGCGTGTCTATATCGCTTAAAATGCAGAGACTTCAGTCCGATCAGACCTCAGTCTCTTCCGCTCTGATCTTCCACTGCTTTTTGTACCACATTCAGGTCTGACCTACAAAACATCCAAGGATTCGTTCCGCTGGGACAGTGGGGAGTCGCCATCCTATCACAGCTTTGCTTTTGGACAACCCGATAACCAAGGGTAAGGATCTTAGTTGGGACGGGGAGAAAAGGGGGGAAAGGGGGGAGAGAGTTACCTGTATGTATTATTTACTGAGATTTCGTCCATAAAATCTACAGTCAATTCACTTTACAGTGTATTCGCTGAAGCACTCTGAGATGTCTCAACAACGTAATACGTGCAAGGATTATTATTATTATTCTAAATTGGATAGGTCCGCCCTATGTTCATCTTATACTCATCTAATTCAGGTTTGGAAACTGTGTTGAGCTGCAAGCTTCCAGCGCGTTCAACTGGAATGATCAGAGATGCAAGACACGAAACAGATACATCTGCCAGTTCAGTGAGTATCGTTCCTGGCTTAAACCCTGGGGCGTGAAAAAGCACTCAGTGAACCTGTGGGGAGCAGTGAGCAACAAACAAGAATCGCTAGCTGCTTTAGTGTTGGCTGAAGGCGTGATCAAAGAGATGGGTGGCTTTGGAAGACATTGGGTGGAGAGGTGAGACCAGCCTACATCAGTGGTAGCCAACCACTTTGGCCACCAGCAATACTCCAAAATAAAATTGGTCACTCGCTCCACGACTGTTTGTGGACATATCCTGTGAAGTGCTTTGAGACGTCTCAGTGCTGCGACAAGGCGCTCCATCAAATGCAAGGGTTGTTATTATGATCAATTGAATCGGCGTCCGAATTAGATTGATGTGTTTGAACCTGTGTTTTTTTCCAGGTGAGAAGCACATCGCAGTCTGGAACTACGGCGTGTGACCTCGAGCTGCAGGAGAAGCCGATGCCTGGTGCATTGGGAGGGCTCAGGCTCCATTCTGTTAATGGACTGTAATAATCACCGCAGTAGCTTAGCAACTGGGATCCTAGGAGCTGAGACGTGAGGAAACTCTGTGCAGTTTAGTGCTAAATCAGCCTTGTCCCAGTGTCCCTGAGCAGAGGTCGTGGGGTTGGGGGGAGGGAGATAATGGTAGTCTTCAGTTCAGTGCACGGGCCAGCCCTTTTCTCTGAGATATAGTACTAGCAATCCGGCCTTCAGTACCTAGTGTAGTCCAGGCAGCAGATCTGGCTCCAGTGACATTAACCTTCTGGTCTATTTCTGAAAGCAGTGAGGAAAAAAGCCATTATCATGAATCTTTCCACCAGCATAAACTAAAACATCTCAGCTTCTGTTTGACCATTGGAATTACAGAACCTGGGTATGGAATGCTACTGGATTTTCCGAGGGCTACGAACATAAAAACATAAGAATATTCTAAGCAAAAGAACACCAAGGTCCATCCAGTTCGCCTTCCACCATCCTGGCAGTAGCACGCACATGTCATGTCCCAAACTATATACTGTATCCCAAGATATTGTTTCCCAACGGAAATCTTATCTAATTTATTCTTGAAAGAATCAAGACTTTCTGCTTTCGATATCTCCCTAGGGAACCTGTTCCATACGTTTACTATTTGCTCACTGAAGTAGACGGAAATACACATTGAGGAGAGGCAGTGTTAGACAGAAAGCAGGTCCCAAATCCCATTCTTCGCACACGAATGAGAGCTGTTCCCTCTCTTTCTCTCTGGAGTTTTAATTGGGAAAATTGGGAGAAGAGGGAAACAATTTCATAATTAATACACAACATGCAATATTGGGTGCGGTGTCTTGTGGTCATACATTTAATGCTCTTTCATCATTTGTGTAGTGAGTGATGTTCCTTTAGACACACACACTGTCAGCGTATTCACTGGCACACAAAATGATCATTGTATCCAATAGCTCCTGCCTCAGAACAGTCAATTGAATAGTGATGAAATGGACGAGTTAACCAGTCAGGTTTGTCGCTAGATGAACGTTTATGTTTAATAAGGAGGTTTTGCCACCAGTGGGAGAGTGCAGGATAAAATGGTGAGGTTTAAGCTTGGAGAGTTGACAAGCACTTTATAGAAAGGTTGTCAATGCTCGGCAGTGCGGTAGGGCTCAATACTGATTCATTTTATGCACATTTGATGTGTATACAGTAGCTATGAAATCTTTTCCCAATGAATGTAGCCTACAAATGTCAAGGACCACACTGTCCTATTGGAAAGTTGCCTCTTTTTAAAAAAAAACGGATGAAAGACATTTTGTGTTATACCAGCTTGTGTTTTGTTCATGATCACACAGTCATTTTTAATCCAATCCCTTACATGATCACTCGTCGAGTCTTCAGGAGAGGAGATGAAAGGATAGTACAACGACAACAACTTACACATATATAGTGCCCTTTCACACAGGTCGAGGAGCGTTTTAACATTGGTGGAGCCCGACGCCGAGCCTGGGGGAGGGAGAAGGTGACCGTAAGCACCGTCAAAGAGGAAGGTCTTCAGTCATGATCTAAAAGAGTGGAAGAAGGGGCCAAGGTGGAGGGATTGAGAGAGAGAAGCTTCAGGGCGTTAGTGGCTGAAAAGTGGGGCTGCAGATGGTGGGGCAGAGGGGAGCGGAGGGACAAGCAGGAGGCCGGAGCCAGCCGAGCGGAGGCAGCGCTCAGAAAGCAGGTCGGAAAGGTAGGGAGGTGCCAAGGTGTGAAGGGATTTGTAGATGAGTTTGAGGATCTTAAAATCCATCCGTTTTGTGACGGATCCAGTGAAGTCCGATGAGGACTGGCGTGATGGAGTGGAGTAGCAGTAAAAACAATCTGCGCTGCTTTGCTGACAAAGAAAATAAACGTTACAGCGAAACGTTGTCTTTATTAACAAAAAAAACACAGAAATGTTCATAAATACACACAGAGTTCACGCCCGACCTCTTTACAAACGCGTAAACTTTGACCCAAGGTCCTACTTAGTTTGGAAAATTTCAGTCCAGTGACCATTTTGACATGACAGACTCTCCCCGACTCCCGAGACTATGTACACAAACAGATGACGGTGAGGTCCATCTGACCACATGGTCTCCCGCTCTCTCTCTCTCTCTCGCTTTCTATCTCCCCCGCATCCGCTCTCTGCCCTCCGGTGGGCCATCTCTCCGGGTCACTTCTTCTGAGGAGTTGTCATTTTCCGCAGACCCTTTATTCTAATCAGCAGCTCATTAATAAAATCCTAGGATTAAATGGAACAAAGTTACTTTTGAGGTTGTTCGATTTTAATTACATTTTAATTAACGCGTTGAAACATCTCGAACACAGTTAGATCCTACCCCTGACACTGATACAACCTATTAACGAAGTGTTAATCTGCTCCAGATTAGATGAGGTCTCATCTCTCTTGTCAACACCCTAGTGACAATAGACTCTAAAGCTTTACTTAATTCCCAATTAATTGATCTATCCATCTCCCTTTTAAACATCCCAATCCTCTCTGCATCTACGTGCAACAGAAATGTGTTCTTTCTACACTCAACCCTCGGTTGAAGAAATGTTTTCTGATTTGAAACATCTCACAGGATATTCTGTAAAGTGAATTGAGTATGTATTTTTTGTGGGCCTTTATTATTTTAAAAACCTCAATCAAATCACTTCCCTCAACCTCCAACCTCTCTCCAATATCTAAAGAAGTCATCCCTCAGTCTTTTACATCAGGTACTCGCTTAGTCCACAACATTTAAAGACCCCAGTATTGCACTGGAGGGTCAACAATAACACAAACAACAAGTTGTATCTATACATTACATCAGTCTAGAATGTGAGTTCAAAGTACTGATTCAGAAAATCGTAAAATTTACAACCACAAACTTGCATTTATATAACGTCTTTCATATCGGGAGGCCCTCCCAAGTGTTTGCACCCAAGCCTGGGATTGCAATTGGTGAGGGTTGGGGGGAAAGATGACCGAAGGTGTGGTCGAAGAGGAAGGTCTTGAGATAGACCTTGAAAGATGCAAGGGAAGGGGTGGAACAGGACAGGACAGGAGGTCATTTGGCTCATTTTAAATCTTTGAACACCTGCTTCTCATCCCTGGTATCTTGACAGTGAATGTACTTTATATCATGGCAGATGGGTCCTTGGTTTAATGTCTCATCCAAAGGGTGACACCTCCAAAAATATAGGACTCCCCCCAGTAGTGCACTGGAGCTTATGATGTGAGCTCAAAGTCCCTTGAACCTGCAACCATCTGACTCAGAGGTGAGAGTGCTATCATGTGAGCCAAGCTGACACCCAGGTATTAACTGTAAATTCTTCAAATATCTGCCTCGGACAAAAGGATTATTAGTCAGTTAATTGGATTCCAGGAGACTATCTGATGTGAACATCAGGAACCAATTAGTTTTTTTTCTTAACAGACGGTTTAGTATCTTTTTTATTACATTATTTGTGGAAAATCTCTTACTCACTGACCAACCAGATAACAACTAGCTTGAGGGAGTTTATCTCTTAGAATGCCATCACTGTGAACCTTGAACAAGTTGACTTTGGGTGTTGACTGGTGACCAGATTTGTTGGGTGAGGCCTTTCCTGCAAATACATAGACTCTCAGATCGATCTGCCCACTGGATGTGCTAACATTTCCAAAGTAAGAAAGGAATCAAATGGTGGATCTCACTTACATCTGTGGGTTTACAGCAGCCTTGTAGGATCGCCTGTGGGTTAAAAGACAAAGTGTCACTTTAAAACTGCCGGTAACAGACATTGAAGACATTAAAAATGTCAACAGCTGAAGACACGATTTTACTGCGAAGTGTAATATAATAATAATAATAATAATAATCCTTGCATTTGAAATAGTACTTTATCACATCATTGAGAAGTCTCAAAGCGCTTCACAGAATATATTGTAAAATGGATTGACTGTATATTTTGTGGGCGAAACGCGACAGCCAATTGCGCACAGCAGTGTTCCACCAGCAGTCACGTAGTGAATGACCTATAACGACTGATCTGAAGGATCAGTAGATCCCAGTATTGCACTGTAGTGTCAACAATGACAATAACAAGTTGTATTTATACATTATATCATATCAGTCTGGAAGGTGAGTTCAAAGTCCTGAGTCAGAAGATCAACCCACAACCTTTTGACTAAGAGGTGAACGCTACCAACTGAACCTGGCTGACACCTAACTCTAAAAATTAACAGCCACTGTTCAATGTCATGATGTCCACAGGCTAATAACACAGTGGCACATAATGACAATCTGGATGCACTTGAACTGAACCTCTGAAGACTGGTAAGACTTCAGCCAAGATAGGGGATAGCACAGGAATGGGTCTGCAGCATGTTGAAGAGGAAAAGCTATCTTTGTGTTGTCAAGAGATCCCAATGCGCTGTTGGAGTCTTGTCATGTTGCAATCAGGAAATCCCGTAAGTCTAGCGTACAGAATGGGAGAAAAAGATACACCCAACATTTTATGAGCATCTGATTAGTTTTCGAGGAGTCCTGGTGGTGAGACTCCTCCACTGAGAGGGAACCTGGTGTTAAACCAAGTACGGGGAAAGGAGCTGAGAGTTCCTCATTAGAACGGGAGTAGTAACAGAGTAGAAACCCATCCCATTTCCTTTAGTGAAGACAAATTCATTGCTGTGCGCAATTGGCTGCCGCGTTCGCCCACAAATATACAATCAATTCACTTTACAGTGTGTTCTGTGAAGCGCTTTGGGACGTCCTCCTGACGTGAAAAGCGCTATATCAAATGCAAGGATTATTATTATTATTATTATTATTACAAGTTGAAATGATTTAGATCAGAGGTTCTCAAACTATATGGTGTGCCTCCCTGGGGAGGTGAGGGCATGCGCAAGGGGAGACACCAGTTACACACCTCACAACAGTCCCGAGTTTTGCGGTATTGGCCCCGCATTGCAGCAAAGCCGCTCCCCCAACAACCAAACCCCACCACAAGGCTTCCCTCGACAACCAAACCCCTTGACGATGCTTCCCGCGACAGCCAAACCATCATCCTCCCTTGTTTCTTCCTCGTTCCTCCGCTCCCCTCGCTGATTGACAGCCAATCAATCACAATTTGACTCCTCCTATTTCCACCTCAAGAGTTGCCGACTCGCGGGGGAAATGGAACCGTGTCGAGACACAGAGTGAGTAGCCGCAGTGGTGACCAGCGCGGGATTGTGTCCGGATTAACCCCATAATTAAAATAGAATCGGGACTGGGCGTTTTTGTTCGATTCATCCGGCATTTGCGATTAACCCGCGTCCGGTTAAAGTGGTTTCCACTGTATATATTTTTTCTTAGCTGTGACAGATCTTGTGCAGCTCTGTTTTAGACGATTGGATTGGGATTCCAACCAGAGCCGCACGGCTCACTCTATGTTCCAGTGAAACCTTCAACGAGCGCTAATTCCCAAGCTGGCAGTGTTTACCTGGAGTTTGGATCTCTGTTTCTCATCAGGAAGTTCTAACAATTCATCAACGTCGATCTCCAACACGGGCGTTTCCTCCTCCTGACAGTAAGTGAAATGAGAATAAGAGTCTGTATTATTAATAATGATAACAATAATCCTTGCATTTGATATAGTACCTTATCAGGTCATTGAGATGTCTCAAAACGCTTCACAGGGTGTATTGTAAAATGGAGTGACTGTGTATTTTTGTGAGTGAAATACGGCAGGCCAATTGCACAGAGCAATGTCCCACAAACAGTTGTAGATTGAGTGACCACATTTTTTATTGGGGATTATTACCCCGGAAAGCGATCTGCCAATCAACTAAACAACAGGGTTCCTACTTACTGCTGGGTAAACAATCATATAATAATGCACAGTTAATCCAGTTAACATATATACATGATGGTAAACACATGGAACGTGTTGATGTATGTGGTTTCTCTCTAATATATTGTTCAACTCAAGTGGTGTCTGCACAGCACATGGAGAGGAGATGTCATTCCTGAGCTGGTCAGACTTCTGTCCTCTGCACTGTACAAGTACAGAAACTCGCACACACATATTTATATGTGTTTATACTGTACTGTATAAAGTACAGTAAGCGCTATATCAAATGCAAGGATTATTATTAAGAATTATTAAGAATTATTATTATTATTATTATTTTTTATATGTACACAATCTGTTTAAAATATCCCTGACAACTGAATCCTTGTTTTAAAATTCCCATTGTAATAATTCCCATTGTTCCAATAATAATAATAATCCTTGCATTTGACATAGGTCTAATTACGTCATTGAGATGTCTTCACAGAATATATTGTAAAGAGAATTGACTGAATTTTGTGGGTGAATCGCGGCAGTCAATTTGCACACATAATCCCACAAATATGGATTGAGTGACCAAATATTTTTGTGAGCTACTATTATCCCCAGAAAGCGATCCGCCAAACAACTAACAACCAGGTTCCTACTTACTGCTAGGTAAACAGAGGAATGTGGAATAAGGAAACTTGTCTATGGGTTTGCTCTGCCCGGGAATGGTACCAAGCTCCTCTCGCTTGGGAGGCAAGAGCTCTAACCACTAAGCTACAGGACTCCACATTATAAGTGGGATGCAATCAATCAACAGACAGAGCAAAAAGTATTCCCAGCTGTACAACAGTGTCCTCAGTGCAAACTGTCCTCCAAATGTACACTGCCAGGAAGCTCCACTCGGATCTACATTACTCTTTATTAAAAATTCACAGGAATCCTCATCTGACTGTCTATCTCACAGGATTGAAATCTGATATCTAGAGAATTAGGAAGACCCAGAAGTAAGTTTCAAACTGCAGTCATTTACAGTTAATCACAGAATAATGTTTCCCGGAGTGAGTTGTAGGCTGGAATCTAATTGAGGGATTCGGATGATTTATATTGAGAATAATGAAGCCTGCGAGGGAATTAGTGAGGCTGGAATCTAACCAAGGGGTTCAGATTGTCTCTATACAGAATAATGGATGCCAAGCAACATTGCTGAATCTAATCAAACGGTTCAGACAGGTTATATACACAGAATAATAAATCCTGGGAGTGCATTAAGGACAGACCAATCCTGAGCAAAACTGATTCTGTTCTCACTGAACGTCTTCTCTCACACACACACACAAACACTTTACTGCAGTGATTAGGAGATTACGAGAAATGTTTTCACACACACAGTGGTTAGGATGTGGAATGCCCTGACAGATGTGGTGGTTGAGGCAGAATCTATATTAGCTGTCAAAAGGGAATCAAATAAATACCTAAACAGGAGTAAATTACTGGCGTTTGGGGGAAAGGAAAGTTAAATGGGACCAAAAGGATTGCTCTTAAAATAGCCAGCACAGACACAAGGGCTAAATGGTCTTCTTCTGTGCTGTAAATTTATTTGATTCTGGGATAATAATAATAATAATAATGCTTGCATTTGATATAGCGTCTTATCACATCTTCGAGACCACAAGATAGTTTTCCTTTTTTTCCCGAAACCAAGGGCACTAAAACCCCTACTACTGTTCTACTAATTCAACGGATATCCTTTCTATTTGGTTAAGGACAACCTACTGCCTACCTGAGTGGGCAGGGGGGTGGGGGGGTGATTGGGGTTGTTTTGGAGCTGAGCTGGCTTCCCACTCAGCTCTTTTTTACCCTGCAAAATCAAAGCCTTTTGGGGTGGTTCGAGCCAGACAAGCAATAATAATAATCCTGGCTTAGTGATAGCACTCTCGCCTCTGAGGCAGAGGGTTGTGGGTTCAAGCCCCACATCAGGACTTGGTACTCATATTATCTAAGATGACACTCCAGGGCAGTGCTGCGGTGTACTGCATTGTCCTTCGAATGAGATGTTAAATCAAGGTCCTGTCTGCCTGATCAGGTGGGTGTTAAAGATCCCACGGCATTATTCAAAAAGACAAGGGAGCTTCTCTCTCCGGGTGTCCTGATCAACAATCCCCCCCAATAAAATTGGTCATTAACTCCATGGCTGTATGTGAGACATTGCTGAGTGTAACTTAGCTCCCACAGTCACTGCACTTCATAGTACATCCTGTGAAGCGCTTTAGGATGTCACATAAAAAATGTAAATTGTATTTTATTATTTAGCAACCGAGCTCTGCATTTACATGATTTGAACTTTAATGGCCTCCAGACACCTAGCCAGGACTATCACATTGCAATGGCTATTCAAGCTTCCGGTCACCAAACCAAGGACAGCAGACAAGTGGTCTGATACACTGAGGTCACCATGAAGACTCTCACTATTCCTGAGTGGTCAAAGGGTGCTTAATAATAATATAATTATATAATCCTTGCGTTTGATATAGTACCTTATGATGTCGTTGAGATGACTCAAAAGCGCTTCACAGAATATATTGTAAAATGGATTGACTGTGTATTTTGTGGGCGAAACGCGGCAACCAATTGTGTAGAACAGGATTCCACAAACAGTCGGGCATTGAGCGACCACCTTATTTTTTGGAGGGTTTATTAACCCCGGAAAGCAATCAGCCAATTGACTAACAACCAGGTTCCTACTTACTGCTACTTACTGCTAGGTATATAGAGGCAGGTGAAGTAAGGAAACTTTCCTAAGGTTTCGCGCTGCCTGGAAATCGAATGCGGATCCTCTCGCTTGCTAATCACTACTCTGTGGAACTCCATTTAAGTACAGTTGGAAACTGCACATCAGCTTGCCTTCGAACAAGCCTTCACCTAACAACTAATTGTATTTTGCCGTGTGCTATTACATATTTTTCTGCAATGGTGTGTGCCTGTTCACATCGCTTCTCCCCTTCCAGCTAAGTGCCAGCCAAGTGAGAAAGGAAGCAAAGTAGAGAGCTGTGTCGGGTAGTCCTGGGACTGAAGTCTGTGACCTGGAGAGCCAATACATTGTCTATTCATGCTTGTGTGTTCGCAGTAAAATGTTGCTGTGATGGCAAGGGGAAGGCGGGGGGGGGGGGGCGGGAGGGCAGGGCGGGCGGTGCCAGGCACTGCTGATATTAGCGCAAAACAAATTCATTCAACTGCCAGCTGACCGGGGTGAAAACTGGCGGTCACAGTGTTTCTCTTTTAAAAACAGCGGATTATTATTCATTTCACACACACACGCACACACGCACTCCTTCTGCTCATAATGCGAACAAAAAACACCCACGCTGGCCAAAGGCATCATTTCTGCAATAGAGAATGATCCATTGTTTGAGTAGGTTAACCTCTTCAGGGCTATAGTGCAATTTGGTAAGGATAGGACAGGAGCTTCTATTATTAATAATAATAACAATAATAGTCCTTGCATTTGATATAGCGCCTTATCAAGTTGTTGAGACTCTCAAAGCAGGTCACAGAATATATTGCGAAGTGGATTGACTATGTATTTTGTGGGCAAAACCCTATTCAGGCTGCACCCCACCACCTTTCAACTTTCCACACGTGCATCAACAAACTATATAGACAATTGAGCCGCACTAAGCTCTGTGAGCTGATCACCCCCAATCTTCACTGGCTCCAAATCCCCCAGAGGATCGAGTTTAAAATCCTTGTCCTCACCGTTAAAAGCCCTCCACTGTCTTGCTCCACTCTACCTTCTGGGAACTCCTAAAACCTTACCAACCTGTCCGTTCCCTCTGCTCGGGGGGGGGGGGGGGGGCATAGGCCTGCTCCACTCTCTACGTCCCCCGCTCTGCCCGCTCCACCATCAGAGGTCGGGTCTTCAGCCTTTTACCACCCTCTGGAACTCCATCCCAGATCTCCTCTGCCTCGCCCCCTCCCTTGCCTCCTTCAAAGTCCATCTCAAGACCTTCCACTTTGACCGTGCCTTTGGTCATCTTCCCAACACTTCCTCCTTTTGCCCTCTACATCTCTTGACTCTAGCCCGCAGCTCAGGTGCAAACCCTTACCTGTCCCAGCACCTTGGGACTTCATCCCGATGTGAAAGGCGCTATATAAATGTCATTTGTTGTTGCTAATACTGTTTTCTGTGACTTGCTGTAAGTTGCTGGAATAGTTCCGGGGGGAATAAGAGGCAGCAGAGCAGGCTCAACCTGAGACAAACAAGGCTGTCCATTGTCAAAGTGGCCACCATCAAACCAAACTCACAGCACCGCACTGCAGTTAACTGTGGAGATGGCTGATATCTGGAAAAGGCTCTTAGATTTGAGCATTACCATAGGGATTCAGGGAAGCAGAGGCAGGAAGTGAAAATGCTTTCTGGTTCCCTGATAACCAATCCTTTGACACAAAGCCTTTTGAAAAGGTCAGGTTATCTTCTATTCCTACACTGAGAGAGCAGTCAGCAAACCGTGGGGGTGAATTTCCGTGCAGCACATAATGTTACACGTGGGAGTAATTCTGGAAGCAAAACAAACAATACTGTGGAAATGTTAAAGGCAAAGCTCTTTTCTTTGTGCGGAGAAATTTTTTTTAATTGGAGCATATTAACTGCTTAACGGTTTGTCCATCATGATTTTACTCGGTGATCCTCACAGCAGGTTTAACACCAGTGGTTATTTATAGCTGAATTTGTCACAAGTATCCGACAAGTTAATGTACAGTCGAACCTCACTATAACACCTGCCTCCCCCCACTCCCCCACCCGGGACCAACAGAAAAGATTGTTATCTCAGGGTATTTGGTGTTCATTATAGTGAGGTTCGACTGTTGAAAGGCCAAACACATCTACTTCGAAAAGCATTTTTTGTTTCGCCTTTTTTCCTTAGTCATGTTCTGGGGACTGTTGATAATGTTGATCTTTATTACATCTTCCTTGAAATGATTTGTAATGGTGTCATGTGTATTTGCTTTTGAAGCAGTGAAGCTTTTTTATTTAGTTTTGGCTACCTCTCCACGATTAGCTTTCAAACTCTCTATCGATGTCTGTCACCATCAATCTCAGCCGTCGAGGAGGATCTTTCCCTGGGGCCGAACTCATCCCCAAACTACAAATGAAGGGAAAAGACGGATGTAAATAGGACTGCGAGACTACATCCCAAAGGAGTTTTATGCTGTTAACAGTCTAATTGCAGCTCGTGTGAAGCCAAGTTCCGAAACACTGTAGTTTGTCTGCTGAATGCTTTTACCATAGAAAGAAAGGACTTTTTAATAATATTTTTATAATATTTTACCATGTCAAAATATCTCAATATCTTACAGTAATTACTGTCAAGTGCAATGACTGCTTTTGAAAGCAAATTCAGCTGTCATGCTGTGCACAGCAAGATCCCACACATGGCTAGAAAATATCTTAACCTTATTAACTTTGTCATCTGAAAGACTGGGCATCTTTGATGTTACCTTGATCAAGATTGGCTCAATCTTTTGAGTTGTAGGCAGTTCCACTTGTATTAGCCTGAATGTTTGCTACTTGGGAGTTGGATGTGGATGAAAGGATCCTGTTTAACGGCAATGAGACAATTCTGTCAAAGTCCATCTACAGGGTTCAAGCCATCCAGGGATCTAGAATGTTAAAGTGTTAAATATCTAGCAGTAAGTAGGAACCTGTTTTTAGTCAATTGGCGGATCAATTTCCGGGGGTAATAATCCCCTCTCCCAAAAAAACTTGTCACTCAATCCATGACTGTTTGTGTGAAATTGCTGTGCGCAATTTGCTGCCACGTTTCGCCCACAAAATACAGTCACTACACTTTACGAGTTTCTCCTGGTGTCCTGGCCAGCAATCACCCACATTAAATTAGTCGCTCAATGCATGGCTGTTTGCGTAACATTGCTGTGTGCAATTGGTTGCCGCATTTCACCCACAAAATACAGTCACTACACCACTTTACAGAATATCCTATGGAGTGCTTTGAGACGTCTCAACGGTGTGATTAGGTGCTATATCAAATGCAAGGATTATTATAGGAGTTAGCATTGCAATGGCCACAGGTACAAATACCAATAATTTATCTGCATTAATAATTTAACTGAAGGGAAAGGATTAGTACGTTGGAACCGCAGGGAGGAGAAACATTATGAGGTACTATGAAGTGTGTGAGTCATCCTCTGTTCCTCCTGAGCTGGCAAAAATGTCACTATGACCTCTGTAAAATATTCCAAAATGTAGGCTGTATCCTAAAAATATTTAATGTTTCTCTATCTTATAATGTGGAGGCAATATAATGATTCCAGTGAATTTATCGACCACAGCAAAGTCACCACCCCACTTCTTTGCCTCCCCTCATCTTGTCCTTTTTCTGAAAGTTAATCATTCTGTACAACAGTTGACATATTAATTCCCCTTGTGACCCTCCTGAAATACATTGTATTCTCAGGAACTCAGAGATGCAGTAATTCGAGCTCTGTATGCAACTTCACAACGGTTTCTGTCATGAGACTGAATCTGCCTGCAGTTAGCTTAAAGCAACATGGAACACAGTTAAATCAGAGAATGTTACAGCAGAGAAAGATGCCATTCAGCCAATCGAGCCTGTACTGGTGTTTTTCTGCACAAAAAACACCTGATCTCATTCCAATCTCCAAAATACACAGCCAACAATATACACAGTAACTCTGCACAGTAAATCCCACAAAGCTCTTTGAGACATTTCAATGGTGTGATAAATTGCGATATCAAACACAAGGATTATTATTGCTATTCCTTTTAACACTCCTTTTTTAAAATTGCTTCATTCCTGGAGTCCCGAAGCATATTGGTTAGAGCACTCGCCTCGCAAGTGAAATTACCTGAGTTTGATTGCTGACCAGGGCAAAACGTTAGGCAAATTTACTCACTCCACATGCCTCTGTTTACCTAGCAGTAAGTTGTTAGTCGATTGTCGAATTGCTTTTCCGGGGGTAATAATCCCTTCAAAATGTATATGTATAAAAAATAAATTGTCACTCAATCCATGACTGTTGGCGGGCACAATTGGCTAACGCATTTCACCCAAAAATATACAGTCAATTCAGTTTGCAGTATATTCTGTGAAGCGCTTTGAGACGTCTCAAAGACATGATAGGCGCTATGTCAAATGCAATGATTATTATTATTATTATATAGCAGCCTTAATGCTTCGTGTAGTGAGTTCACGTAACTTAACAAGAGTATAGTCCTGAATGTGGAGTCCTGTAGCTCACTGGTTAGATCACTCGCCTCACAAGTGAGAGACCTGGGTTCGTTTCCCGGCAGGGTGAAACCTTGGGCAAGTTTCCTTACTCCACAGGCCTGATAATAACCCCTCAAGAAAAAAACAATAATAACTTGGTCACTTCAATCCACGACTGTTTGTGGGATACTGCTGTGCGCAATTGGCTGCCGTGTTTCGCCCACAAATATACAGTCTTCACGTTACAGTATATTCTGTGAAGCGCTTTGAGACGTCTGGAAGACGTGAAAAGCGTTATTTATATCAAATGCAAGGATTATTATTATTATACTCTGTAAAACCTGGGATCTTCTCGATCTGTGTGTTATCCCGTAATTATAATTCAGTACGGAGTGTACATAACACTGTATCTCTGTATTTATAAAACAAAACCATTATTACTGTGCATATTTTTCCTCAGTAGATCGAACTGCAGACTCTGCTGACAAGAATTCTCTAAAAGGACATAAGGCATATGTTGAGACATTTAACCGAAGTCCCGTCTGCCTGTTCAGGTGGATGTTGAAGACCCCGTGGCGCTACTTGAGAAAGAGAAAGGAGTTTCTCCCAGTGTCCTGACCATCAATCCCCCAAATAATATTGGTCATTCACTCCATGGCTGTTTGTGGTACATTGCTGTGCACAAACTGGCTGCTGCGTTTCGCCCACAAAATACAGAGTCAATCCACTTTGCAGTATATCGTGTGAAACATTTCGAGATGTCTCAATGACTTGATAAGGTGCTCCATCAAATGCAAGGATTATTATTATTTTCATTCTTTGCTGGATGGTACGGGGTTAGATATTGTTAAATCCTTTGAGCAGAGGGGAGATGTTTGGGACTTCCTCCCAATGTGAAAGGCGCTATACAAATGTAATCTTGTTGTTAGTGATGCAAATGCACAGCATCGAGATACACATAGCTCCAGAGTCACAACCCCCCCCCCCCCCCCCCCCACCCGGAAGCTTCTCTCCCTCAGCTCACAGTTCCCTCTCTCCCTCTGTCTGCTCTCGAGAACAGGAAGACAGAATCTTCGCTCCGGGAAATGGGAAGAATTATGCGATGGAATAAAACAGAGGTGGGCAAATTAGTCGGGGGCTCTGATACTTGCCGTGTTACTGGGTTATTCGGGTGGGAGGTGGCGGGAGGCGGAAGAAAGAATTAAAAACAGATCACCACCCTTTTAACAATTAAATCTTTTTCAACAGAATAAAATCTGTATTTGGATTGAATTGTCTAATAATAATCCTTGCATTTGATACTGTGCTTCTAACATGCAAACCATCTCAAAGAGCTTCACAGGGCGTTGCTTCATTGCTTCACTGTGTAGTGACTGTTCTTTGAAAGGAAACGTAGCAGCTAACCCGCGCACAGCAACATCCCACAAGCAGCCGATAAAGCGATTGACCGATTTGTATGGAAGATTAGTAATGCCTTTGGATGTCTGCACAAGGTGAAAGGTGCTACTCAAATGTCATTTGTTGGTATAACATCCAATAGGTTTTCACTCCGTATCCCAAACTATATCCGATACTATTCCGAGGCTGCATCTGATGCTCTTCGGTTCTATTGCAATCTATAATAATAATTATCCTTGCATTTGATGTAGCACCTTAACATGTCCTTGAGATATCTCAAAGCGCTCCACAGGATATACTATTAAGTGGATTTACTGTGTATTTAGCTGCGATAGCCAGGTGTGCACAGCAATGTCCCACAAACAGCCATGGGGTGAGTGACCAATTTTATTTGGAGGATTATTGGACAAGACACCGGGAAAAAAAACTCCAGCAATTCTCCAGCATTCCCTCCAGTTCCTGATCTTTGTCTTATTACATGAATTCATTTATCCTTGGTTTACCTATACCACTTCCTCGCTTGTGAATCACATCCCATCCGTACTCCTCACATCTCTTTGCCACCGAATGAACGTGAATCCATTTTTTTATTTTGCTTTTAACTCTAAGCTAAAATGAGAGTGACCTTACAATGAAGATACATATATAGTCCATTCCACAAGAGTGAGTAATATAATAATAATAATCCCTTCATTTGTCACAGTGCCTTATCACGATGTTGAGACGTCTCAAAGCGCTTCACAGGATATATTGTAAAGTGGATTGACTGTATTTTCTGGGTGAAACATGGCAGCCAATTGAACACAGCCCACAATCAGTTGTGGATTGAGTGACAAAAATTTTTTGCATGGCGAGAGGACCCACAAAATACAGTCACTACACGTTATATCCTGTGAAGCATTTTGAAACGTCTTGACAGCAGAGATTATTCAAAACTCTGCAGCTTGTGTCCTCTCCTGCACCAGGCTCCACGAACCAATCACTCCCATTCTTGCCCGGCTTCACTGGCTCCTCATCCCTCAGAGAATCGAGTACAAAACCTTCGTTCTCAACTTCAAAGCCCTCTACGATCTTGCTCCCCCCTACCTCTGCAGCCTCCTAATCCCATATGAGTCTATCTGCTCCCTCCGCTCGGCGGACATCGGCCTGCTTCAGGTCCCCCGCAATTCCCGCCCCACCATTGGCGGGAGGGCATTCAGCATCTCTGCCCCCACACTTTGGAACTCTATCCTGCAATCTCTCCACCTCACCCCCTCTCTTGCCTCCTTCAAGTCCCATCTAAAGACCTTCCTCTTCATCCGTGCCTTCGACTACCCTGCCACCCCCTCCGCTCTGCCCTCTATCCCTCCTGACCCCAACTCGGGTCGAAAAAACCCTGACTATCCAACGCCCTGGGATGTCTTTCCGACGTGAAGTGCCCTGTACAAGTGCAATTTGTTGTTGTGATAAGTCTGATCGTATATTAATGAATCATACTGAGGTCTTTCTGCACCTCTATAAAATGTAACAAAACTGGTTCCAAAGGTAGTTTTATGGTCCAGGCATGTTTTACTGCGTAATGGTATTTATGTTTCTCAGGTCCCTTGTGCTGTCATTGCAAGTGTTCAAAGAAATTGCTCATATTCACAGATTATTACAAAAACCCTATCAATCAACCTGACTATTTAGTTGAAAACCTTGCCTTGAAAAACCAGTTGATTCGGTCCTGTTTATTTTCTTAAGGCTGTGCAGAAACTTCTCGTAAGTTAATAATCAAACAGAAAGCTTTGCAATATTGTCCACGACCTCAGCCAAGCTTAAGGATCACAGCTCATCCATACACACACTCACACACAGAAACACTCACCTTACAACCCAGCAATTGACGGATTTGAACGTCCATCCATTCCTCTACCTCCAGTCTCTTCTGCAAATCTTTCCTGTCATATTTGACGGTGAATTTCCCCATTTTACGATGCGTGGGCTGCTCCTCTTCTTTGCTCGCTGCTTGGAAATAAACCCTAGACTGTGTACTGGGCTCCGCCATTGTGGTGTAGAGCTGGCTTGTGTGTGCAGTAGTGCAATAAACACCTTGTTATCTGAGCTGGGAGCAGTCTGCAGCCTGTACGTGCGGTTAGGGAAAGCTCAACCCTTTCCTCCCCCTTCTCGTTCTCTCACTACACTGGCAGATGGAGATACTAGCAGACAAACGCACCCTTGTAACCCTCTGATAGCACAATGTACTAACAAAGCGTTCCAAACCAGCACACAGTCTGGAGGCTCCTCACTGTTAACACACAAAGAATGTTACATTGGTGGAGTATTCCATAAACAGGATGGGAAAGAAAGGACAATAGCCCCGTGAGAAGGCTGCTGCAAGGTATAATTGATTCTCCTGTCAACTGTCGAGGAGGAGCCCTGTGGATAAGCACTTTGAATTGTAATACCCTTTCCTAACGCAGAATTATTAATTTAATCCTCACATTTGATGTAGTGCTTTATCACGTCATTCAGAAGTCTCACAGTGCTCCACAGAATATACCGTAAAGTAAATTGTTACTATATTATAATAATTGACTATTGTGTGGGCAAAAAATGAGGTTTTAAGCTTTTAAGATGATAGCATTTAATGCTCGAAAGCAGCAAATCAATTTACTAATTTAATATTTACAGGGTTTCACTGAGTTTATACAAGACACCACATTCCTAGATTTGTAATATTAAGTGTAGCAGCATACACCTCTGTTATAGAAATTATTCCTTCCCTGTATTTTTAATAATAATAATCCTTGTCAATCAACTAACTTTCTAGTTACTGCTATGTAAACAAAGGCGTGAGGAGTAAGGAAACTTGTTTAAGGCTTCACCCCGCCTAGGAATATGAGTAACACCCTGCATTCTAATACAGTATACCTTCTGATAAGTTGACCTTGGATTGTCACTACCAGTTAAGGCAGTGCTGTCAATATCCCAGCCGCATTTATTTAATATTTATACTTATGCCTAACTTGTCATTCCGAATAACTCAACATTGAGCCCCTTTCCCTGGGAGTGACAAGTTATGAGGAGTTTACTGTATTTATAATTGTAATATACACAGTATTCAGAATTTACCTCACTAAGACAAGTCATGGGATGACAAGTGTGTTTGTTCTGTCCATATGCAGCTTTCAGCTCGGTCCTAGAAATGCATTAAAATGCATTCTACATAAATTATTCCAAATCCCTTAGTTAGATTTGTGGTCATTACACTAAATCCTGCATTTTGAAAGGTCAGCCTGGTGCAGTGGTAGGAGTCTCGCTTGTGGAGTCCTGTAGCTCAGTGGTTAGAGCACTCGCTTTGCAAGCGAGAGACCTGAGTTCAATTCCAGGCAGGTCAGGGCGAAACCTTGGGCAAGTTTCCTTACTCCACACAGAGCCTAATAATAATCCCTCCAAAACCAAAAACAATAATAAATTGGTCATTTTCAATCTACGACTGTTTGTAGGACACTGCTGTGCGCAATTGGCTGCCGCGTTCGCCCACAAATATACAGTCAATTCACTTTACAGTGTGTTCTGTGAAGCGCTTTGGGACGTCCTCCCGACGTGAAAAGCGCTATATCAAATGCAAGGATTATTATTATTATTATTATAGCTTGTGTGTTCAAGACTCATATGGGGACTTGGAATCATATAGTCTAAATGCAGTGCTGGGCTGGGAGTGGGGTTGCATTGTCAGTGGTGCCATTATTTGAGTTAAACTGAGGTTCTATCTGCTGTTCAGGTGGACATTAAAGATTCCACGGCATATTCGAAAATTTCCTAAATAAAATTGGCCGTTCACTCCATGGCTGATTGTGGAACATTGCTGTGCATAAACTGGCTGCTGCATTTCAGCCATAAAATACGCAGTCACTACACTTTGCAGTGTATCCTGTGAAGGTTTTGAAGTGTTTGGACGACATAATAAGGCGCTATATCAAATGCAAGGATTATTATTCCAGCTTGTACCTCGACCATTGTTCAATATCTCAACCATTCAAAATCCCTAAATTAGATTCCAACTTTTCTATTTTATCAACAACAACAACAACAACAATGGTGCCCTTCACATAGAATAACTTCAAGGACTGACATCAAACTATGGAGAGGACCAAAGGTTGAAGAGGTAGATTTTGAGGTGGAACTTAAAGACAGATAGAGAGGACGCAAGATGGAGTGGTAGAGGGAAGGAGATCCCTAGGTTAGGCTTAGTTACTGAGGGCAGTAGACCAAGGGGGTGAGCAGAGGAGTGGAGTAGGGAATTGCACAGATAGGGCGGTTTGAAGGGTATAAAGAGATTTCTAGGTTGAGAATGAGCACCTTGTCGTTGGGGGATAGTGGAGACTGGCGAGCACTGGGGTGTTGATATTTATGTGGGTGAGGTTGTGGGTGACGGAGTTTTGGAATAGCTGGACCTTATGATGTAACAAGGGAGACCAATGAGGAGGGCATTTGAAAAGCTTAGGTGAACTTCATGGGTGTCTGTGGGCCACTAAGCTTCAGATTCAGAAGGAGACAACCAAAATGGTGATGTATAATTCGTAAGTTTATTGAATATATAATAGCAATAGTCAACAAGTCAAAGTGTTAGCTTAACAATCCTTCAAGCTGAGACAATATACAGTAAAATCGATATTACTCAATTCCACTGGGAAGAAATGTTGTTCCTCTATGACGATTACGACTTTTCCAAAGTTACTTCTTTCTTTTAAGTGTTTTGAACTCTGTCTTCCCTTCCTTGGTCCGATTCACCAGCCTCCCTCCATGCCTTTGTCTCTGGTTTTCCATTTTCGTGCTCAAGGACACAATTACTCAAATCTCAAGATGGGAATGGCATCTTCCCAGGAACTGAACAAAATGGAATGTTATCAGAAACTGACCTTAGCCTGGTCAAGCCAATATATCCTTACCCTTGCTAACGCTAATTAACACAACCCTTTCAAGGGCCCTAAACTGGTTGTTAAAAGCAAACAACCTCATCCATGCCCTTAATTAATTAGCCATACAGTGATATGTGTGTATATATATATATATATATATTTATATAAGTAGGATACATTCTAAAAGTTTATAATGATTAATTAAAAAGCCTTAACATAACATAACATGTAGGAGCAGGAGTAGGCCATTTGGCCCTGCGAGCCTGCCCTGCCATTCAATCATGGCTGATCTTCTAATCTAACTCCAGCTAATAACCTGACCCTGCCTTATCCCCATATCCCTTAATCCCTTTTGCAATAAGAAACCTATTTATCTCAGTCTTGAATATGTTCAAGGACTGAGCGTCAACAGCCCTTTGGGGTAGTGAGTTCCATACATTCACCACCCTTTGAGTGAAGAAGTTCTTCCTCAACTCAGTGCGAAAGGGTTGGCCTCTGATTTTAAGGTTGTGACCCTGGTTTTAGTTTCTCCAACCAGGGGAAACAATCTCCCACTATCTACTCTATCATGCCCTTTGATGATCTTATAGGTTTCTATAAGATCCCCTCTAATTCTTCTATATTCTAGAGAAAATAGGCCCAAATTGGTCAGCCTATCATCCCCTTCATCCCTGGTATTAACGTAGTAAATCTATGTTGCACCCCCTCCAAGGCAAGTACATCCTTCCTTAAATAAGGAGACCAAAACTGGACACAGTATTCCAGGTGTGGTCTCACCAGGGCCCTATACAGATGCAGCAAGACTTCCATTAAAAACCATTAAGCCCCGCAAAAATAATCTTACAAGGTGATCTTAATATGTTTTTCCTTATATGGTCTTGATAGGCACCCAAACCCACTCACTGCCTTTTATGGTGTTGAAATGATATCCATTTCTCACATTATGATGCATTTGATGATGCTGATTATTATGTCAATGCAACTATAAATGTCAGCTACAGACATCTTCATGCATGTTTCAGGCACTCGGGATGTCTCTGCCTTCACTTTTTATTTATTTTATCAAATTTATTTTTTACTTCTACAGTAACGTGCATTGCCAAAGCAGCCAGGTCTGGGTTAGGAGCACAGGAAAGTCTTTGGTGAGAGGTGATGCTGTTAATTTCTCCTTACCCTGGAAGCGAGGTAACAAGTTGTGGAGGGATGTTGGCAGGTAGGCCATCCCTCATTGCCCTGAGAAGGAAGGCAATGGTGTGAGCTCCAGAACTTTAACCCAGCGACAATGGAAGAACAGCAATATGTCTCGAGGATAAGAAGCAGTATAATTTGGAGGAGTACTTGTTGGGGTGGTGATGGTGTTCTACTGGACAGTGGAGGTCACAGGATTGGAACGTCTTTTCAAATGTGGTTGGTGAGATGGTGCATGATAGAACCTACTGATGCCTCAGTGGATTAGTGAGAGGAGTGGGTCTTGTTGGAAATAGTCATTCCCAGCACTTGTAAATGTAACTTTGTTTGTTTTTAGCAGATTCCATGGAAAAGTGTGGCTGATCAGGGGTTCAATTCCGGATGCTTGCTGCGCTCATTCCATTGCGATTTGTGTGCAACTGGCAGCCGTATTATTATTATTATTATTATTAACATTATTATTATTCTCTGCAGATTGGAGTGCCTTTGGATTAGGAAAGCAGAAAATTGGTTGGTTCCTGCTCTTGAGGCTGCACAGAATAACTTGTCACGGCTGATCAGGTTTCTGGTGTTTGTCATTAGACCTGTGCTTTAAAAGGTGAGCAGGAAAAAGGGGGCTCAAGGACTGTGCTGGGTTTGTGTGTGGTTGGAGATGTTGTGAAGGGATGGCCAGCAGGGAAGATTAATAGGAGCACGGCTAGAGCAGCAGAGCAGCAAAACAAGAGATCCATACTAACAGGAATGGAGTAGATGGAACAGAGAGGAGAGATTGCAAGTTTGTCGCAATACTTTTTAAATAACAATGATCAATAGCTACTAATTTCAATTTAAATTGTTCTAAATTGATCTGAAGCCTAGCATGGGTGAGCAAGGTGGGGGACGTGAAGCAGGCCAGAGCCCGCTGAGCAGCGGGAGCGAGCAGGTTGGTACGGGGTTAGGAGGTTGTAGAGGTAGGTGGGAACAAGGCATGGAGGGCTTTGAAGGTGAGGACCAGGATCTTGAACTGTATCCTCTGTGTGATGGGAAGCCAGAGGAGACAGACGAGGATTGGGGTGATAGGGTCATGGAGCCTGGTGCGGGAGAGGACACGGGCTGCAGAGTTCTGGATGATCTAGGGAAGGAATTGGGGAGCTGACAAGCCTGGAGTTTGCGTAGTTGAGCCTGGATGTTTATGAGGGACTCGGCAGCCTGCGGTGTGAGACAGTGGAAAAGCTGAGTGATGTTGCGGAGGAGGGGAAAGCCAGAGCGTGTCATGGCATTGATGTGGTGTATGAAGGACAGTTGAGGGTCGAACAGGACACTGAGGTTCAGTATTGGATCCTGAGCTGTTATCAGTGCCCGAGGTATGAAGGTGCTGACGAGAGCCAAGCAAGAGGTCCTCAGTCTTGTTGACAGGAAGTTGGCTCTCATCCAGGACTTGATGTCTGACAGGCAGTCAGTGAGGACAGCAGTGGTCCTGGAATCGAGGCTGGAAGCAGAGAGATAGAGTTGGGGGTCATCCGCATACATGTGGAAGTTGACCCCATGTCTGCAGATGATGTCACCATAGGGGTGGCATATAGATATTGAAACGGAGCCTTGAAATATACCACGTGTGACAGTGCAGGGGCTAGAGGAGAAGCAAGGCCATCAAGCTGTTTTTTTTATCTTTTCTCTTATGACCACATTGATTGCTTGAGCTGCTAAACAGATACGTCTTTTCAGTGTGGAGATAGGAATCCGGTTGTTAGTCGATTGGTGGATTGCTTTTCCGAGGAAAGTAATCACTTAAAAAAAATTTAAAACAATAATTTGTCCACAAAATATAGGTCGTACATGGTTGGAGTGGGAGATGTCATGAAGGATGGCATGAGGAGAATTAATGACGACAACAACTCACACTTATATCGCGCCCTCCACTCAGGGCAGCATCTCGGAGCGCTTAACAGCGGTAGCGCTTTTCACGTCGGGAGGACGTGACTGTATATTTGTGGCCGAGCTAGGCTCTGTGTGGAGTAAGGAGATGAAGCTGGAATTGAACTCAGGTCTCCAGCAGTGCTCAACCACTGAGCTACAGGACTCCACGAGCCTGACTCCGAGCTAGAAGGAGAGATAGCTGTCAGCATGGTCGACGAGGAAGGTTTTCAGTCGGCACTTGAAAAAGGGGAGAAAGGGAGCAAGGTGGAGTGATTGAGCGAGAGTGTTCCAGAGTTTCGGAGCATAGTGGCTGAAAGCGCAAACTCTGATGGTGGGGTGGAGGGTGCGAGGGATGAGCAGGCAGCCAGTGCCATTCGAGCAGTCAAATGGAAGCCCCGGGTGGTGGATTGGGAAGTGAGTAGGTCGGAGAGGTAGGGAGGTGTCAGAGAGTGAAGGGATTTGAACACGAGTGTGAGGATCTTGAAGTCGATCTGTTCGGTGATGGGGAGCCAGTGAAGCCTGGGCCAGAACTGATGAAGAGTTTGATCTGGGTAAGTATACGGGCGGCAGAGTACTGAATAAGCTGGATCTTTTGAATAGTGGAGCTGGGGAGACCGGCGAGGAGTGTGTTGGAGTAATCCAGGTTGGAGGTGACAAACCCATGCAGGGGGTTTTAGCTGCACTTGGGGTAAGATATATAGTCGGAAGCGGGCAATGTGGCGGAGGTCGAAGAAGGGTGTCCGGGTCAAGTATCGGATGTGGGGGAGGAAGGACAGCTGGGGGTCGAATTGGACGCCTAGATTGCGCACTGATACGGTAAGTCTGAGAGAGAGCCCAGGTAGGTTAAGGAGTTCAGATCCGGATGAGTGAAGACATTGACGGGAACCAAGGAGTATGGCTTCCGTCATGTCCACATTCAGCTGCAGGGAGTTTGCACTCATCCAAGCTCTGATGTCTGGCAGATGAGCTGATAGAACATTGGTGGACCTGGAGTCGATACTGGAGGAGGCAAAGTAGATTCCTGTGACGTCCACATACATGTGGAAGTCTACCCCATGTCTGCGGATGATATCGCCCAGAGTAAATATATAGATAAGGAAAAGAGGGTCAAGGATGGAGCGTTGGGGTACCCCATAGGTGACCGGGCGGGAGCGGGGGGAGAAACCATTTGCCAAAATGAAATGGAGGAGGTTGGTTAAGTAGGAATTGAACCATGCGAATCCGGTCCCACTGAGGTGGATGAGGGAGGAGAGGAGGATGGTGTGGTCAACGGTGTCAAATGCTGCAGAGAGATCCAGGAGGACGAGGAGGCAGAGGGAGACCCAGTCACAGAAAGGAGGAGCAAGACAATAACCCAAAATTACATTTGTATAGCACCTTTCATTTGAGAACTTCCCAAGCTGCTGGGATGAAGAGGAGGGTCTTGAAACGGGTTTGGGAGGAAGCGTGGGAGGGGGCGAGGTAAATTGTGGGATGGAATTCTGGAGGGTGAGGCAGAGAGGCTGAAAGCCCGCCTGCCAACGGTGGGACGTGAAGCAGGCTGAAGCACACTGAGCGGAGGGAGCGGACAGGTTGGTAGGGGGTTAGGAGGTTCACAGAAATAAGGAGGAGCGAGGCCATGGAGGGCTTTGAAGGTGAGGACCAGGATCTTGAACTCTATCCTCTGAGTGATAGAGTCGCAGTTCTAGATGATCTGCAGCCTGCGGACAGAGGATTTGGGAAGGCCCACAAGCAGGGAGTTTGCAGGGAGTCTGGATGTGATGAATGCATGGATCTCGGTGGCCTGTGGTGAGACAAAATGGCGGAGCAGGGCAATATTTCGGAGGTGGGTAAAAGCCGAGCGAGTCATGTTGGGGATGGAGGACAGTTGAGGGTCGAACAGGACACCGAGGTTCTGCATTAGCTCCGCGAGGTGAGGTGTAGAGTGCATCCACGGAGGGTGACACTGTCAGCGCCCGACAAGTGACCCATACAAACAGAATGAAGCAGGTGGAACAGGAAGGAGAGTTGCAGGTTTGTAGCAGTACTTCTGAAATAACGATGATTAATAGCCACTAATTTAAATTGTTCTACTCCTTCCCCCGAAGGTTAGTACGTAACCTGCAAGTTCCCAGGTTTGATTCCTGGTTTGTGCTGAGTTGGCTAACCCCAAGAGGGTGTTACATTGCCTCAGCATCTCCTGTATGCAGACAACAGGGAAAAATCAGCCTTGTTCCCTGATTGCTTGGTTCTAAGTAAGTCTGGAGACCTGTACAAACAGAATGGAGGAGGTGGAAGAGGGAGGAGAGTTGCAGGTTCAAATAATAATGAATAATAGCTACTAATTTAAATTGTCTGCCTGTTCGGTTGGATGTTAAAGATTCCATAACATTATTCAAAAAGGCTCTTTGTGGTGCCATTGTCAGCTGTGTATACTGTGAGCTTTAGATAACACATTGGGCTTGCTGGCACAAACACCAGAGCCTTGGAGGAAATGGCCTGAAGTTCCAAAGTGCCACATGAGGTGACATACTGTGGGATTTGCTTGAGAAGTCACTGATCGGTTGCGGTAACCAATGGGGATTGGATGCAGCTGGACAGAAGAGATGAGTTAAGTCAGTATTAACTTCTCCTATTCCAGAATCGCTGAACACAATTGTACCATCTGACACATAAGAAGTGAACACCACAACCTTACATCACCCAGTCCAGGCATGATGTGGAGTCCTGTAGCGTATTGGTTGGAGCACTCGCCTCGCAAGTGATTGGACCCAGGTTCGATTCCTGCTCGGGGAAAACCTTAGGCAAGCTTGTTACTACTTACTGCTAGGTAAACTTCTGTTTACCAAGCAGTAAGTAGTAACAAGCTTATTTCTGCTCCCAGCATAGATCTATGCCGGGGAGAAAATTGGCTGAAATGTAATTCTCTTATTTTGGTCTGGTTTTAGGTGAAGAATGAAGAGGATAACAATTCATCATCCTCCCAAATCAGACTGTAAAGCCAACCGTACTGCGATGTCTTCTTTGTGTATTTAGTTTGTTGGTTTTGGATTATGTGGCGGAAGAAACTGCAATGAACAGAATGTAATTTTAATCTAATAAATGCATTTCTGAAATGATTGTCTTAGGTAGTTGATGGAATAGATCGGGTGATGTAAGGTTGTGGTGTTCACTTCTCATCCTGACTTTGAGATAAACAGATTTACAGTTTAAGGGTACCTACAAAAAGATTGAGTTTCAAAAACAGCTGAGTATTTCCATCTACTACAGTCCCAGGATTCAGGACACCGTCTGTTGGAAGCTTTCAATTATTCAGAGTCGCTTAGATCGATTTTCAGTGGGAAAAGAAACAACACCAAACGTGTCAGCTTCAAACTAATCAGATGAAGATTTGCCTCAATAGGCAGCAAGAAAGAGGCAGCAGGCAGGGCTATTGTCAGAGACTGTTTGCCTGGCCAACTTAGCAGAATAATAAGAAAGGAAGATCATAGGAAAACAGGAACTGGGGCAGGCTATCTTTGAAAGCCTTTCGCAATCGGCTCAATCCATCAGCCCTCTTGCGCTCTTGCTGTTCTTTGAGATCCTGCCATGCACAAAATATAAGTGTCATTCTCACATAAACAAGTGCCCTCGTCTCCGTCTGAAGACAGTGATTCTTGAGCTAACACTCCAGGACAACAGCCCAAGGTAGCATTGCGCTGTCTGAGATCACGAGTGGTTGAACCTATTTGTCAGCCTGGTTCAGTGGTAGGACTCTCTCCTCTTAAGTCAGGTTGTGGGTTCAAGCCCCACATCGGAACTTGGAATCACATAGTCCATAAGCTGACATTCCAATACAGCACTGGGGGTGTGTTGCAGTGTCAGAGGTGCTGTCCTTCAGATGAGATGTTAAACCGAGGTCCCATCTGCCTGTTCAGGTGGATGTTAAAGATCTCAAAGTGTTATTTGAAAAGAAGAGAGTTTCTCTCCCCTGTTGTCCTGGTCAACAATCCCCCAAATAAAATTGGTCACTCACTCCTTGGCTGTTGTGGGACATTGCTGTGTGCAAATTGGCTGCCGCATTCTCCCACAAAATACACAGTCAAACCACTTTACAGTATATTCTGTGAAGGACTTTGAGACGTTATGTCAAAAGCAAGGATTATTATTGTCTGACCTCACCCTTCAAGAGTGTCTACCCTACCATGTTCCCATGATTGCATCAAGGAGTTGCTTAACTGAGTCCAACATCCTGGCTTCAACTACACCCTCTTGGTAACATTAACCTCTTTAAAGAAATATTTCCTGTTTTCTGTTGTGAAATTACCGTTTGCCACCCTGAACCCATGTCATCTAATTTTGCTGCCCTCGTATAAATGAAAGCGTTAAACTTGAACTCCCTTGCCTCCTTCAAGGCAAAACACTCTTCGCCACGCCTTCAGTCACCCTCCTAACCCTACCCTCCCTGACCTCCACCCTTCCTGATCCCAACCACCAGCTCAGGTTCAAATCCCTGACTATCCAGCACCTAGGGATGTCCAACATGAAAGGCTCCATCAAATGTAATGTGTTGTTTGTTGTTAAACCAAGGTCTCTTCTGCCTATTCAGGAAGATATTTCTCCAACAACCAAGAAGGATCTCGGAACGGTTGCTTCAGACTTAATTGGCACATGGCTGCCTGGTTTACTGATCAGAAGTTAAAGGAACACCAAAATGTGGAAATTTTCAGCGGAATTGAATTTTATTTGGGGGATTGTTGGACGAGACACCGGGAAAAACTCCCTTCTCTTTTCAGATGGTATCACGGGATCTTTTATATTAACAAGTCACAGTTTTAAATCTCTTCCTTAACCTTTTCAGAAAAAATCAATGTGACCTTCCTCTTCGAACCCATTCCCTCAGCTAATCAGCCTCAAGATGTTCTCATATGATAAGGCACTCTAACCTTCTCTAGTCTAGTCTTTCTCTAAACTGTTCTTTCTCTAAACCGTCAAGTTTACATGTGGATGGTAAACATCCTTTGGCACTAAGGGAGTTTCTCTCTCCTGGTGTCCTGACCAACAATCCCCCAAATAAAATTGCTCACCCATTTCATGACTGTTTGTGAGATACACACAGCTCTTGAAAAATAGCAGAACGGGGTTAGGCTGAATAGCTGCTTAAGGATGATGACTAGAGTCATGGGCGTGGTGTATCAGATTGCTCAGTAGATATGATTTGGTCGATTGGAATGGACCCTGGTTATGTTTAGAGCCTTTATGTATGTCTCAATTATGCAATTAAGTTCTAATTGTTGCATAAGAGTACTGAGAAGATTGCGTCATAAACATATGAGGAACCATGGTCAAGTTAGCACAGGTAGTCAGTGACATCAGTGTATGAAACAGGAAGAAGAGGTCTACAATCACTTCCTGTCATTAGGTTCCAGTAAACCTTGGCTCCTGTACACTTATCCAGCCAGTCCCTCCCGAATCCCATACACACACCCATTACCAAACACCCTATTCAGCACGGTTTAATCTTAAACTGAATGCTGAACTATGTTCACCTCCATATTGGGCTCAGTTTAGTGATGCATTTCTCATCATCATTATAGCACTTTGTACCACAATGTCTTGAAGAGCTGGTGGTGAGTACAGCAGCTGCATGGAGGCTGCTTGCAGTATCAGGTCTCTATCAGCAGGCGTCACTGTCAGCCCTTTAACAACCTGAATTAAATTTGTTATACTTTTTCAAAAATGTGATAATAATAATCTTTGCATTTCATGTCGTCGAGACGTCTCAAACCGCTTCACAGGACGTTCTGTAAAGTGGATTGACTGTGTATTTTGTGGCCGAAATGCGTCAGCCACTTTGCGCACAGCAATATCCCACAAACAGTCATGGTGTGAGTCACCAATTTTATTTGGGGGATTGTTGGCCAGGACACCAGGAGAGAGAAACCCCCTTTTCTTTGCGAATAATGCCATGGGATCTTTAACATCTGAACAGGCAGACGGAACCTCAGGTTAACGTCTCATCCAACCTCCAACAGTGCAACACAACCCCCATAGACTATATGATTCCAGTGTGGACCTTGAATCCGCAACCCATTCTGACTCAGACCTGGGAGTGCTACCACTGTGCCCAGCTGACACATACTATTTACATTTGGAAAAAGCACTGACTGTATCTGCTTATAGCATAACTGATGTGCTCACCTCCAGTTTGGGGTCAATTTAGTGATATAGACAGTATTTATGACATCAATACACGCCCACAAAATATAGTCAACTCACTCTACAGCCTCTGTGCCCTGAGTTAGCCCTTAGATCTGCAGTTAAGTGCACCAAGATGCTACCCACGTGAATGGCATTATATACATGCAAGTTGTTGTTGCTGGGTTAGTGAGCCAGGTTTTTGGCTTCTGATCACTGTTCTATGCTAGAAGATGCGTTTTATAAGTTCCAGGTAAGGACACAATCGGGCTTTGTTGTTATGTTCTTTGCAGTAAATAGTCTGCTGACGTCCTCCTGACCTGAAAGGCGTTTTACAAATGTAATCTGTCGCTGTTGTTGCTGACACTTAACTGTGAAGCCTAATCAGTTACTGAGACACTGAAGGGTAACGATGAATAAACAATGCAAGAGAATATACTCGGACTGGTGCTCAGAGTGAATGCGTGCTCCCTCCTAATTCCTTGTGTTAGGAGTGAGTGTGAGTTCACTCTCAGGATCCTGGTGCTCAGGATGAGTGTGGGCTCATTCTGGCTGAATGTGTGTGAATGTGGGCTCACTGGCTGCCAGTGTTTGTGAGTGTGAGCTCACTGGTTGGTGTGTGAGTTCACTCTGGCTCAGTGTGTGAGTGTGAGTTCACTCTGACTGCCAGTGTGTGTGAATGTGGGCTCACTGGCTGCCAGTGTGTGTGAGTGTGAGCTCACTCTAGCTCAGTGTGTGATAGTGTGAGCTCACTCTGGCTGTACAGTGAGTGTGAGCTCACTCTAGTTGTCAGTGTGTGAGTTGTGGGCTCACTCTGACTGTCAGTGTGTGTGAGTGAATTCACTCTGACTGTCAGTGTGTGCGCGTGAGTTCACTTTGGCTCAGCGTGTGTGTGAATTCACTCGGGCTCAGTGTGTGACAGTGTGAGTTCACTCTGGCTGTGTGAGTGTGGGCTCTGGCTCAGTGTGTGTGAGTGTGGGCTCACTCTGGCTGTCAGTGTGTGTGAGTGAGTTCACTCTGGCTGTGTGTGTGTGTGTGTAAGCTCACTCCGGCTCAGTGTGCATGTGAGTGTAAGCTCACTCCGGCTCAGTGTGCATGTGAGTGTAAGCTCACTCCGGCTCAGTGTGCGTGTGAGTGTGAGCTCACTCTGGCTCAGTGTGTGTGAGTGTGAGCTCACTCTGGCTCAGTGTGTAGAGTCAGGCAGTCAGTCAGTGTATGGGGAGGTGTCAGATTTCATTTCCTGTTGTGAAGGTGGGACACACCTGGTTGAGCTCACACACAGCAGCCCCAGTTTCGAGAGAGAGAGAGAGAGAGAGATAGAGAGAGAATTTGAGGAAGAAAGATTGAGAGAGAGATTGAGTTTGTGTGTGAGATAGAGAGAAACCGTGAGAGCGAGTCAGAGAGAAAGAGAGACTCGGAAAGGTTGAGAGAGATTCGGAAAGACTGAGATAGAAAGAGAAAGTGAGAAGCAGAGAAAGAGAAAAAAATTGAGCGAGTGTGTGTGTGTGAGAGAGAAAGACTGAGAAAGAGAGAGACTAAGCCAGACAGAGAGACTAAGAAAGGAGAGAGAGACTAAGACAGACAGAGAGAGAGAGAAAGAGAGTAACAGAGACTAAAACAGAGAGAGAGAGAGACTAAGACAGACAGAGAGACTGAGGAGAGTGAGAGAGAGCGAGAGAGATTAAGACAGACAAAGAGAGTGAGAAAAAGTAAGAGACTGACAGACAGAGAGTGAGAGAGAGACTAAGACAGCGAGAGAGTGAGAGAGAGACTAAGACAGAGAGAGAGTGAGAGAGAGACTAAGACAGAGAGAGAGTGAGTGACTAAGACGGAGAGAGAGAGAGACTAACAGAGTGCGAGAGACTAGGACAGACAGCGAGTGAGAGAGAGAGACTAAGACAGACAGAGAGTGAGAGACAGAGAGACTAAGACAGACAGAGAGTGAGAGAGAGAGACTAAGACAGACAGAAAGTGAGAGACAGAGAGACTAAGACAGACAGAGAGTGAGAGAGAGAGACTAAGACAGACAGAGCGACTGAGAAAGAGAGTGAGAGAGAGACTAAGGCAGACACAGTGAGACAGAGAGTGAGAGGGACTAGGACAGACAAGACACTATGTTGGCCGTGTGGCTTCTGTTCCTGAGCCTCTCCCAGTACCTGAGCGGTGGGGGTGCTGCCCGGAGAGGCAACTGCCTGAGCGCCATGCAGCCGGGGAAGCCAGACTTCGTGCTGGACACGGATGACTCCGTGAAAGCGGGGGCCACCTTCCTGCAATCCCCCAACGTGAGCCGTGTGCGGGACTGCGTGCGAGCCTGCTGCAGCCATCAGAGCTGCAACCTGGCGCTGGTGGAGGATGAGCCAAAGCACCAACAAGGAGACGTGATGCTGCGCTACATCAGGAGGTGCTTCCTCTTCGATTGCCTCTACAACCAGGCCTACGTCTGCAGGTTCTTCAGGAGAGACGGCTACAGGAACTTCATCCTGGATACGGTCTACGAGTCCTACATGAAGCCCGTAGAAAGCAATCAAGGTATCATCTCCCTAGTTATAACCTCTCTCTCTCTCTCTCTCTCTCTCCTCACTCCCTTCCAATCCCCACCCCCCACCGCCTATCCCAAGTCTACCACTCTCTCCTCACTCCCTTCCAATCTCCCCCCCACTATCCCACGTCTACCCCTCTCTTCTCACTCCCTTCCAATCTCCCCTCCACTACCTCTCTCTCCTCACTCCCTTCCAATCTCCCCCCCCACTCCTATCCCATGTCTACCTCTCTCTCCTCACTCCCTTCCAATCTTCTAACCTCCCCCTGCAAGTATCTAATCCTTTTTATTGCTGGATTATAAATATTCTTCCCAGCTTTTCGCTTAACATACCTACACCTTGAAATGTATTTATAATAATAATAATCCTTGCATCTGATATCGCTCTTCATCACCTCGTTGAGGCACCTCAAAGCATTTCACAGGATATACCATGAAGTGGATTTGACTGTAATTTGGGGGCGAAACTGGAGAGCCAATTGCTCACACTAGTGATCCACAGACAGTCATGGATTTAGGTGAGAGAGAGAGAGACTGATAAAGATTGACTGACCAACAAAGGTTGAGAGACAAGGAGAGAGTGAGAAAGATTATTATTATTATTATTTGCACAGCAATGTCACGCACATAGCCATGGAGTGAGCGACCTATTTTATTTGGTGGATTTGTTGGCCAGGACATTATTTCCAATTCTGTTGAGTGTAATTCAACCCCTTTCTAAGTATTAATGCCCTAAATTTGAAATATAACCTGGGTGTATTTATGCTGCCTGTTTGTTTAACTGGGGGGGAGGGGGAGGGGAATGGAGAGAGGAAAAGCAAGAGAGAACATGCCTAATAGGTTTCAGTACAGATCTGCCTCACTTTGTTTACATTCCCAGGTGTATGCGTGCCTGTGGCCTTTGTAAACAGGTTCCCTTCAATTTTCCAGACAGACTACACACCTGGGTTCTGCAGTGAGTCAGTCAAATAGGGTTTGGGTCAGAGAGGAGGGTAAAGGAGGGAAGAGACTGGGTGGTAGTGGAATCAGATGCATATAGATAATAATAATAATGATAATAGTTGCATTTGACCTAGCACCTTATCACTTCATCGAGGCGTTTCAAAGAGCTTCCCAGGATATACTGTAAAGTTTATTTGACTGTGTATTTTTTGAACGAAATGCGGCAGCCAATTTTTCCGGAGCCATGTCCCACAAACATCCATGGCGTGAGTGACTGATTTTATTTGGGGGGTTGTAGGCCAGGACACCGGGAGAGAGAAACTCCCTTCTCTTTTTGAATAGCACAGTAGGATCTTTAACATCCGCCTGAACAGACAGGCATCCGGGACCTCAGTTTAACGTCTCATCCGAAGGACAGCACCTCCGACAATGCAACTCCCCCCCACTCCCCCCCACCACCACCCCAGCACTGCATTGAAATGTCACCTTAGACTATGTGATTCCAAGTTCCGGGTTGGGGCTGAACCCACAACCTTCTGACTCAGGGGCGAGAGCTTGACACATGGTGGTTTTGGAATGGGAAGTGCGCTTTAGATTCTCTTCCCCACAACCCAATGTCATCAGATAGCAACCAGGCATGGTGGGGGGAGCTATTAGTCTTGTTGTTGGTGCACCTCTTCTATTTCTCTCCCTCCCTCCCTACACCAGATACTTGACAGTCATTTTAGAGCCTAGCCTTATGTCAAAGATTACAATTAATTTTGGATTGCAAGATAGTATGCTGGCACTATGTGATATTGTATGTACACTAATAGTAATTCTTGGGTTTGATATGACGCCTCACTTGTTGGGAGAACATCCCAAAGCGCTTCACAGGATATACTGTGAAACGTTATGACTGTGTATTCTATAAGCCACCTAACATATCAGCAAACCCTCCACACACTGAGCTCTGGGAAAATGAAGTGAATTCACGGATGTGTAAGTGTATCTGAAGATGGGTAGTTTCAGTTCGGAGATGACAGATCCTGAACCATAGAAACTTACAGCACATTCGGCCCATTGTATCTATGCTCGACTTCAAGATCCTCACCCTCGTCTTCAAGTCCCTACTTCGCTGATCTGCTGACCTGCTTGTTCCCCACTCCACCACCCGCCACCTCTGCTCGGCTGGCTCTAGCCTCCTTCTTGTCCCTCGTCCACTCCACCATCAGCGGCCGTGCGTTCAGCCACTACGCCCCCAAACTTTGGAACTCTCTCCCTCAATCCCTCCACCTTGCCCCCTCCGTCCACATTTTCAGATCATGCTTAAACACCTTCCTCTTCGACTGTGCCAACGATCACCTCCCCACCACTTGGCGTCAGGTTACAACAGGGTTAAGCGCTCCAAGAAGCTACCCTGCGTTATGGGAGCTATCTAAATGCAAGCTGTTGTTGTTGCTGGCCCTTTTAAAAGCAAATTCTTTCAGTTCCATTTACCTGCCCTTTCCCCAAACCCCTATAATTTACTCCTTTTTAGGTATCTATCTAGTTCCCTTTTGAAAGCTAATATTACCGCCTCAATTACGGCTCCCAACAGAGCATTCCATATCCTAACCTATCTTGCTCCACGTCCCCCGCCCGGCCTGCTCCACCATCGGCAGTCATGCATTCAGCCTTTCTGCACCTACCCTTTGGAACTCCATCCCACAGTCCCTTCGCCTCACCCCTCCTTTGTTTCCTTCAAGACCTTGGTCAAAGAGAAGAAATTCAAGACCCTCCTCTTTGACCGTACCTTTAATCACCATCCTACTCCTACCCTCCCTGAGCTCCAACCCTCTTGATTCCAAACCCAAAACTCAGGTCCAAATCCCTGACTGTCCAGTGCCTTTGGACGTCCTCCTGACGTGAAAGACACTGTAGAAATGTAATTTGTTGTGGTTGACCGACCTAATTTACCAATAATGTCAGATTACAAGCATTGTGTTCAGGGCAGACAGTTCCTGACTGTCCCAGAACTTCACTTGCTCATTAAGTCCAATGGTAGGAAGATACAGACACTATGTTACAGTGGATTCTGTGTTCTAGATATCAGCCAGTTCAAGGTTGGCTTCCAATTCCTTTTTTCAATCTCCAAATGTGTAACAACATGCATTATTATCATGGTGGTGGTGATGAATTGTTCATATGTATATTGATGTTCTAGATTCCAACCTGAGCCTTAACTTGGTAAAGAAGAATGTCTTGTTGCTTTTGAATGTGTCTTAAATCAAAAACATGACACCTTACCATAGAAATGGTTAATTTTCCTCTGGAAACAGTGTCACAGGCACTGTGACCGGTTGAAGATATTTGATAGTAGGAAAGATTGTGAGGTATGAAGAGGCAAATTCAACTGACATTTTTAGGGCACTAACTCCTGTCCAGAATGTGTTGTTTGCATTATGCTAAGTCTGACATTTAATCATGGGGCCAATGGATGAAATAAGGGGTGAGATGATGGAATATTTTACCATAGAATACGATGCCATGTCATTTTTGGGTCGTGCCCTTAGTCTATGCATCTCAGTAGTGTGTAATTAATTAACCTCTGATGGTTTCTATGTCCTTGTCCTGTGCTTGTTGGTCTTTTGTAGCTTGTGCCATTCCACAGTGCAATCATTAACCTGGTGCGTGATCTTAATTCTAATAATGATTGCATTTAATATAGCACCTTATCACATCATCAAAATGTCTTGAAGTACTTCACAGTATTTTACTGTAAAGTGTAGTGACTGATTGTTTGTAGGCAAACGTGGCAGCCAACTTGTGCACAGCAACGTCCCACAAACAACCATGAAGGGAATGATCAATCTTGTTTTCTGGTGGATTGTTGGCCAGGAAACCGTGCAAAAACTCCATCTCTTTTTGAATAGTGTCATAGGATCTTTAAAGTTCACCTGTATAGGAGGGTGATTAGAGTTTGCTTTAATGTCTTATTTCACATTGACAATGCCCTCCAAAGCATTACACTGCAGTATCAGCCTTGACTATGAGCTCAAAGTTCTGACATGGGACTTGAACCTATAATCTTGTAACGTAGAGCTGTGAGGGTTATTAACCAGGTTAGCTCTTACATCTAAACTTGACACATGAACGACTCAATTGACTGGCAGTAATAATAGTAATCCTTGCATTTGATGTAGCACCTTATCACATTGTTGGGATGTCTCAAAGCATTTCACAGAATATACTGGAAAGTGAATTGACTGTATATTTTGTGGGCGAAACACGGCAGCTAATTGCACGCAGCAGTGTCCCACAAACAGTCGTGGAGTGAGTGACCACATTATTATTATTTTATTATTATTTTACTGTACAATATACACCCTGCAGCACTGGTTCTCTCCAGTCACGGTCTGTTCTGCTTACAAAGTAATGCATCTAGTTGTGCGTGGAGCAACAACTACCCAATTCAGTGGAAGGCTGGCAAGCTGTGAACCGCCTTCCAAAACTGTGGCAGAATGAGAACTCCGATTGTCTCAAGAGGCGTACTTACCACATAGTGATGTACTGAGCCATACAGGCCAGAAAGATACAACATTCAAACCCCACCCTGCACTGAGTTACAGAAATGTGAAAGGAAGGTCCCTCAGTTGGAAGAAATTCCTGGAACAAGGTAAACTGGTAGGCGAGGACCACTTTTTATTGATGGGTTAAACCTCTGGAGAAGCCAGGTTAGCCCTGAGGAGATTGAAGGAGGATGGATGCATCCAAGCAATTGATGGACAAATGATCACATGTTTCTTTTCAACACCCTGAGTGCAAAGCATTGCTCGACCATACATACCTAAATTAGCTGATCACTGGGGCAGGAGTTGGGACTAAAATTAGATATTGCATACCTGGTTAGGGGGAGTACAATTATCCAGGGTTTGTACCCCTGTCTAGATCTCTGTAATCTTATGTACAAGATGGAGAGTTTTGTAGCGTGGTTTTTAAAGCACTCGTCTCGCCAGCAAGAGGATCCGGGTTCGATTTCCAGTTTGGAGATACAGGTATTTGGCAACTAAAGAGCAATATGGATGAA